AAACTAATTAATTTTCGCCGAGTGTCATACCTGCATTAAGGTAATCTGCGGTATGGGTCTGGCAAAAAAAAAATCGGATTTGGGCAATGCGGTTCGGTACCAAACTCCGCAAGTTGACAAATTCGCGCAATTTAAACCTTGAATGGTGGTTCCTTGATTAGATGATTAGAGAATGGCTACGCGTTTATTATTACGACCATTAGACGTAGACAAACCGAATCGAAAGGTATGCAACTTTTCGAATAACGCAATTTTTGGCATAATTGATTGCCACTTGCAATTGTTTTCACTTGCCACAAAAACGGGATTTAAATAAGGTTCGCACAAATTATGACAGCGACCTTGTACATGATAATACTGTTTAGGTTGTTCAAGTTATTGAAAGCTTAAGTTAATGAGCATAAGTTCCTGAAAAAATGCCTATGAGTAAATCAATCTAATTTTTGTTTTCGTCCTCCATAGAAACATTTTGGTAGTATAGGTAAAACGCAAAATAAACATTGATTTCATCCTTCGTAATGAAAATTCTAACCAAACCCCTGCAAAAACAAGCCGTTATACAGGGCGTTGCACATGTTCCGCTTATTTCTAGAGTCAATAGAATTTTAAAAGCTATAGTTAGTTTGGCTAACAAATATGTTTCCGAAAGTGCCATCAAAAGGAGTCCACAAAATCCAATGTTTCAAATTATTTCTGAAACGGATTGGGATACTTAAAAATATAGACCACAAATACTTTTGATTGGATTGGTTTGACAAAACAAGTGTTATTTAATTTACCATTTACTTTGCTCCCAAATTAAAATTTTAAGTTTTTCGGCAAAAATTATGTTTTTGTAATCAATTTGAAATAAAAAAGGTACTCTTGTTTAAAGTAAAAAAAAAACTTGCTTTGGGGTTATTTGAAAATTTTAGGAAGTAGTACTGACTGAATTAATAATATTTTAAGTAATTTTCATGCCCATTTCATTAACCATTCCAAGAAATAATTATTGTTCCTGAAGCAACTATGAAAAAATATTGTAAATTATTTTAAACTTAAATTTTGTCATAATTCGTTTCTTAAGGCCAGAGAATAATAAAATGTAAATGGGCAATGACAGGGATTATTAAACAAGGTGGACAGCTTGAAGGTTATATCGGAAAGTTCTATATAAATATAATATTACTTATACATGATTATAATTATAGAGATGAGCAGACACTCTAGTGCTATCGCAGTTTAATCATTGTAACAGCGTATTCATGCGTTATCTAAATAACATATAGAAGTATCGTATTCAAAAAGTTCAAAACTCGTGTCTTAGATTGCTATATGGGGTGGGGCGTAGAAGTCATATTTCACCGTATCTGGTTAGGTTGGTTGGTTTCCCACCCTGTTATTTGATTGCAAAATCATTTAATGTGCGACAAAATTTGATTTCGAACAGACAATTTGAATCTGCGCAGCAACGAAAAGTGCATTTGAAAAGATTATTCTCATACCAAAGTAGAAAAATTGACTTTTGAGTAAGAGTATGAGAGTTTCTACCTAATTAACCTTTACTTATTTCCACTCCCACTCCAAGCGCTGTCTGTTGGTAAAACATAGCAGATAAAAATTCAAAAAGTGCGAAGCAAACTTTTTTGAAAGGATGAATCACTAGATTAAAATCACCTTCGAGAAAAGCTGAGATTAATAATTACTCACATTGGTAGCAAAAATTGGATTGAGTGGTAATCGTTTCAGTGAATTTCGACTGGAGACATAAATCCTGACGTTCTTGAAGACTACTTCCAACAAATGCTAGATATTGTTAGTCATGGGGTTGTTATAGTCAGCTGCCACTCAAGAAAATCCGAAAAAATACCCGTCTTCTTGGAATAAAAATGATAACATTTATTTCAATAAGAAGCAATTTCAGAAATATATGCTGCAAAAGGAGCTACTCTACTACTCTAACTTTGTTGCCGACGAAATTTAGCGGTACTTCGGTACTTAAACCTCATAGAATTCGTTATTTCCAAGGCACAATACTAAGAGGGAATAAAAATCGTAGATTGTGAAAAATGGACATGTGATTGAAATGGACAAAAGAATGCGGGAAGCTGATAACACTGTAGAACCTCTTAATTATTACTCAATAAAGTTGCATTGTAAATAGTACTTCTTCTTCTTCTTTCTTCTATAGTAGCCCTATGGCCTGTTCCTTCATCGGTCGCCTCTCAACCTGGATTGAGATCGTCGTTACATCTTTTCCTCGGTCGTCCCACGCTCCGTCTTCCGTCTGGTGATTTGTCTCTAACGATTTTTACGAGTCTGCCATCTTGAATACGGTTCATTCCACTGTCTTTTTCTTTGGAGCACCCAGTCGTTCACGTTGTCCACTCCGCACGATTGCCTGATGTTTTCGTTTCTTTCTCTGTCTAACAGTGTTTTTCCTGAGATGCGGCGTAGAATCTTAATTTCCGTAGTCTCTAGAAGTCGTCTAGTTTTTGCGGTATCTGATCTTGTTTCTGCCGTGTAGGTCATGATCGGTCTGATCGTTGTTTTACAGATTCACACTTTTGTATGTTCTTTTAGATGTTTGTTTCGCCAAATTACATCATTTAAGCAGCCTGTCACTTTATTGGATTTTGCTACCTGTTGCCTCACTTCGTCCTCCACATTTCCATAATAGGTAATGTCGATACCCAGATATTTAAACTCCATCTCATGTTGAATTACTTGCCCGTCCACTTCCAGTTTACACCTGAGCGGCTCTTTTGATGTGGTCATACATTTCGTTTTTTGGGCTGAGATAGTCATGTTATACTGCTTGCCTGTGCGGTTGAAGATATTTAAAAGTCTCTGCAGATCGTCTTCGTTCTCTGCGCATATCATTGCATCGTCTGCATAGCAGATAATTATCACTTCGTCATTACCCATTCTGTACCCTCTACCCAACCGAACTTTTTTTATCACTTCATCCATAATTATATTAAATAACAACGGACTAAGAGTCTCCCTGTCTGATACCGTTGTTGGCCCGGATAGGTTTAGTTAACTTGTTATTAATACGGGCTTGGATGTTATTGTTCAAGTATATATTTTCTATCGTCTGGACAATATTTATGGGTATATTTCTGTAAATAGTACGTTTTTTTTTAAATAATAATATTTATTACAATTTATCTATTTTCATATTATTCTTTTTTCTATATCAGTTTTTTTATTGATCTTAAAATAATTAATATGTCAATTATCTGCTCATCTTTATAATTATAATCATGTATAACTATTTTAATATTTATTATTCCAATAAATTACTTGCAGTAACGAAGTTGTCATATTACTTTCATTCCCACACTCGTCTTTCTACTGACTGAAAATTAGTGTGATACTAGGAATGATTCGAGGCAAATTTACCTTTTATTAGTCTCTCGCATTAAGAAACGAAATATAGGTAAGAATTAATAAAAAAAACATATTTTTGAAACCTCGTTACAGAGATCTTCTGAGGCAGATATTTTCTGGCAAATGCTTATTAATCAAACTAAAATTATCGTTTAATGTTCCACATATTCTGGAACTTAACGGCAGCTGTTTGAAACACCCATTACAACGAATTCTAAATATATTTTAAAAAACTTTTTCTACTCCCTTCTGTAAAATACCTAATTATACACTGATCTAGAGTGCGGGAAGCGTCACTTTACCATGTGAGTTTCTTACCGCATGGCTTGAATTTTGACGGTCATGTCATTGAATGCATATTGTTGCATAATATATAGGGTTGCTTTTAGCAGCCATTTCTAAGATATTAAGATTTTATTTCTTTCAGAACCTTTTGCAAATACGCTGTTTAGACCACTGAAAATGGTCCAGATTATTAATTGATGTAATATATCCTAAATGGCGCACAGTCCAACAACATGGACCTTTGCGCCGTCCCCACATTAAAATGCAAATAGAATACTTGAATGCACTGGCTGACAGCCAATGCATCATTTCTAACTTAATATCGGGAGTTTAATGACTTCCGGAATATCTATAATCTTACCCCGACTTGGAGAGGGAGTTGTTGCGATATTGCTTGTCTATTTCGTATATCGTGGAGTGACGTGAAAAACCGACAATCGCGTATAATTTTTATCCGCAGGAAACCGCGACGTTTGGAAATAAAACGAAATTTAAAGGACCCCCTCCCTCGTAAAAGGTCACTCCATCTTTTAAACTATTTCCTATGGTTTCATCCCGTCGGTGCCGAGAAGCCTCTGACTGCCCGACGTCTCTGAAACCCGAGGGTGTTGTAAAAAATTGACAAGAAGCAACCACTTCCGGTCGGCGTTATCGCCCAGACTTGGTACCCTGGCGGTTATCTTCGTGCGACACGCTACAGACGAGATAAGGCGCCACTGTCGGAACAAACGAAATGTCTATTGTCATTTTTATTTCTTTTAAATCGGATTGTAGTGGAAAATGTTTGTTGTAGATTGGAATTCTGGATCTCTGCTACGGCTAAGTTGATGTTTTTGGTGTTCTAGTTTTCACTTTCAAAATTGACGGTTTTGGTGTATCGCTTAAAATTTTTCAATTAATAGAAAAAGGGAATTAATTTCCCATATTTGGATTTTTCAAAAAAAATTTTAGTTTTTCTTCATACGGGAAAATTTTTTATTTTTTAGTTTTATTAAAAAGAGCTATTCTTTAAAAAAAGTTTTACATAGTCTAAAACTTTTCTTAACAACAATTGTAATGAACAATAATGGCTCAATTAATTTTATATCTGATGATTGTATTACATTTTTTTAAATAAAACTAACAACTAAATAGTTTTCTATATTGTGTCACATAATGTAGTAAATATCAAGAAATATAAAAATAAGGCCTGTTAGTAAATAAAACTTGAAATTGCTTGGGAGCGATAGCAACATATAACTAATGCGAAAACAATATTGAAATCCAAAAACGAAACGACATAACTTTTTTAAGATTCGAAACAAGCCCGATGAAAGCATCTACGCAAAATAATACCACACTTATTAACCCATGTTAAAACTTTATTAAAGGAACGAATATGTTATGCACAGCTACGAAAATATCACACGGTGTCGCACTCGTTTGGTCAACAATCACATATTTGGTACCCCACCAACCCGCTCTACCATATCTGGCATTTTCTGCGCTTCGGGTTCATCGGGCTGCCTCTGGGGCACTTGAACGCCTTGGCGAAGGCGTCCGAATTCTGTAGGGTCCCCACTACCCTTACCGAATTCGGGCAATGCTCGTCGTACTCTAATTGGTTTCGCAGGTCTTCGGCGGTTGAGCTTTCGCACCATATCTGGAAAAAAAAACCAACTTAAACCCTTTGGTGCGCCTTATCCGGTGCCGCGTCTTACGCTGCCGTAAGCAATGAAGAATAGTTGATCGCTGGTAAAGTTCTCGAAGCCGGGCAACTTTGGCTCGCGACCGTACCGTTTGGCGTAATTTTTGTACGCCGTGTACGCCTGATTTAGTCCACCGTTGTCCGCGAGATTTTCGCCCAACGTCGCCTTGCCTTTAATCTAAGAATCGCGCTTGAGTTGAATCTTCGCTAAGGATGTGGGGTTTTAACCGATTTTTAAAACGAATTGGATTGTTAGTAGGAAACTCGCTCCAAGTTCTCTTTAGAGTGACAGTGAAACGGAATGTTAAGGTTAAACTCTTATATTAAAACAAAAAAGTATTACATCTGATGAAAAACATGAAGGTTGTGTTAATGGAGCAGATGTGGGCGATAGTCTAGACAAAATGGCTGCGTGACTCATTGACAAACTAACTCATGTAAGCAAATCGATACCTTCCCAACAACAACTGGTTTTTCATAATTGTTGCAGCTACCAACGCTCTTTACTAACAAGATTACTCAACAAATTCTTGTGCGAATCACTAAGTGGGGTATTTTTGTCGAAAACTGTTTCCGTAGATATCCGTTTTAGGAGACATGGCGGAACAACTTTGAATACAACTGAATGGGGCTGGAGAAAATTTAAGCCAGTTCTAACTTCAATTGTTCCAGCTTACAACCTGTCGCTATAAATAGGGATGTGGGAAACGATCCAGCTGGGTGAAAGTTGGTTTGCGGTGCACAACGATGTGCTCTATTTGTCATGGAGAGAGTTCTTTAAATGCTCAATGCTCTTCTAACTCAAAGTGCACAATCACATATCACAAGATGACCGCTAACACTCCTAAATATTTTATTTTTATGTGGAACTCATAGAGAATCAAATTTGATAAAGACCCGGTGTTGTCGAAACAATTGTCATGTCAAAATATATAATTTCGTGAAAATCTCAACTTTTAGTTCTTATTTATTTTGATATAAAAGTTCATTGCATTTTCTAGTTGAAGTTACTGTTTCCTAGCAATACGCGGTAAAGCGCCATGGAGTGTTGTTTTGAGCGAAAGGGATGAAGTTCCCACTAGGGTCGAATCTATAATTGGGTGTATACTGGGAGTTCAGTACCAAAATTTCAAAACTTCAAAAATTTTTTCTTCTATTCGTCGCTCTTACGACTAATTTGCTTAGGCTATAGGTCCTGATATGTCCCAGAACTTACGTGTCCTTCAATGCCTTCGATCGTGAAATTGTCATATTGGTCGACGAAACACGAAGTCATGTTTTCGAATGTTTCGATCGTTTTGTTGGACCACCACTGCACGTAGTTGCCGTACTTGTCGTGTTTTCTACCTGAGAAAAAAGTTCGGTGTGTGTGTATTATAGTCTGTGTTATTTACATTTCCCATTTTACCAGAATTGTAAGTTAATAGATGAAGCAAAAGATTAAAGAGACAAGGAATTATTTTAAACAGCAAATAGGTTATAGGGGTTAAAGTTTTAAGAAAAATACGCTTATTCATCGTAATTTTTGTATCCAAAAATGCCTGCGTGAATGTCACTGGACGTCCCAAAAAAGGTTTCCGCACAATGAACTTAGGGAAGATTTTTTTTTATTTTCATTTTAACTGGAAAACATGCATCGCACGAAAATAGGTCGAATGGACTAAGTTTGCTCCAAAAATGGAAATTCATGCAATACTTTTAATTTTTAGAAAAACAGCAGCGAAAACATTTCGTTCAAACTCCCGTAAAGACATCACTGGTAAGCATAAAACATAATATTATATATTAAAGGATTTACGCCCTTAAGTATCAGCACTTAATTAGTAAACACCCTATATACATATTTACTACTAAATTTCGAAGCAGTGTTCGTTTAGACTAAAGTGATCAAAACAATACAATTCTTTCTACCTGTATTGTCGAACCCGTGCGTCAGCTCGTGTCCCAAAATGGCTCCGATCGATCCGTAGTTCAATACCCTAAAATTTATAGAGTAAAGATGTCGTACGTTTCACCACCCCGTCCGACCTACTTACTCTAAGCCTAAATTATACATGGGGTAGTTCAGTATCGCTATAGGAACGTCTAGAAAATAAACACGGGAAACATTTTGCTTCGGTGTCTTATGCAAAGTGTTTTACAAGTTACGGTCCAAACTCAAAGGAAGGACAGAGACAGTCATTTCTGATGAAAGAGTCTTTAGATAACAGAACAAATTGTAACGGTTTTCGAGTAATTGAATTTTTTTTTAATCTTCTTTATTTATTTGAGTTTCGACCATAATTTGCGATTCACCCCGTATAAAAACGGCTTACTTATCGCGTTGTCTGTGAACGAATTGAAGGCGTTGACGTTGATGGGTTCGGTGCTCCAATCCCTTTTGTGTTCTGCACGCAGCGACGTGAGAGTTTCGTTAGTAAAATCGATTATCACGCTCATCATGTTGTCCAGATACGTCGTTGAATTGATCTCCAGCTGGAAAAACGATAATACCAGCTGTTCGATGATGTAACTAACCCAATTACCCCCTCGAAGTGCCTTTCCAAGGCGCCATCCACGAACAACCAATCGGGATAGCCAATGAAGCTGATCATTTCGCGGCTCTTCTCCAAAGTCACCTTCTTTGTGTAGTCGTCCATCCACGCGACACTTTTCACGTGCTGCACGAACGCGTCCTTGATCTCGTGGAACATTTTTTCGACCTATAGGTCGAAAAAGCGGAAATTACGTACGCTACATGACAATCGGCTTACTTTAGGCTTGGTTTTGTTTGGGAACGCCTTGTCGGCGATCGCATAACTAACGGCCAATCCCATGTAATTGTTTACCAACTCGCAGCAGTCCAACGCCCTGAAAGATAACGTTCAATATTGGAGCCCCAGACTTATAACAAAGCAATGAAAACTGTAACATTACTGGACTCGGACTAACCTCGATCTTGAATACGCGACGTCAGAATCTCCATACACTACCGACATCTGCTTGGTGATGTAGTCTACAACGTCTGCCGACGTGTTGATCACCATAGCATAAACCGTAGACCACCACAGATAGATCTCCAAATGCTTCTCGGGTAATGACGTGACGTACTCCAAAATCTTATAGAGGTACGTCAACTCCGTCTCCGTCACGTAGAGCAGATCGACGTCCGGCTCTATGGTAACATTGGTGTTTTCAAATATCGCGTCCACATACGTCACCCAAAACATGGGATCCAAATTCGGCACGTTGTTCGCCGTAAACTCCTGCAGCTGCCTGAAGGTCATATTCTTAGTTTCGTCTTCACCTTCACCATCGTCTGGCTGGGTGTAATTCGCGGTAAGCTGAAACGTCAACACGTATGCATTTCCACATTTCCATCTAGTGAGTTTAATTTAACCTCTTCGACGCGCTCGGTGATGTTGTTGACTACGTCTACAGCTAGCTGTAGGACTTCCTTCTTCGGCGATGACAGGCTGAGGTTACGCGCGAACTCGTTGATTAAAAATCGGATTATTTTGGATCTGGCGACCACTTTAAACTGCAGCTCGGTTTCGTCTTCCTCGGATTCATCTACTTTTTTCGATCCCTTGGTCTTTTTAACTTTGATGGGGCTGGGCAAGGGACAATTTTGATATAAAACGCCCAAGTAAATGACGTTCTGCTCCCTTTTGAAGATGTTTGGTTGAACGGTGAACCCGATGAACACGTCCATCGCAAAGACCTGTTTGATAGACGCTTCTGTTTTCACCCAGCTGAAATTACTCCCTAGATCCGGGGCGAAGACGCTAGGAACTAGAGACAGGCCGACCATTTTCAAATATTTGAACATCACTGATATACCCAACACGTCCAGAGCGTCTGAAATGCAATTTAAACATATACAGGATGTTTGGTAAAGTTGGTACAAACATAAGGAGGTTCTTCGCGGCACTCCTGTCGGGAGTATCCTATTTTCGCCTCTTTATGTTTAAGTGTACCCAACCATAGTGTGTACCGGTATCGATGCATGACTCGTAAAAGTATTTCGCTTGAGTAACCGGGTATGGTTCGTCTTCCTCGGAGTCCGACGACAAAATTTTCATGATTTCGATGAGAATTTTCTCGCTTATCGTGGAGAACGTCGAAAAGCTGGTGTACCAGCCGTGATTTGGATGTTCCTCCGACCATTTCCCGCAGCAGTACTGGTAAAAGTTATCACAGGGATCGGTACCGAAGTCGATAGAGTATTTAAAGTTGGCCGACGATCTCAAACATTCTGCGCTCGTGCAAATTTTATGTTTGCTGCTGGATTTCGAATCTGTAACAAGCAAATCCAATGGACGCGGACGTAGTTATGCGATTGGAGATACTTACAGAGTACTAAAAGTATAATTATTCCTATCGTAAGTATCACAACAAGTACGAATAATACTACAGAGGCTCTTCGGTAGTATACTGACTTTTTGGAGCTGGAAATTAAATTGTCTTCATATCAAAGTTCGTATATTAGTTTCTGGTGGTACTCACGGGTTGAATCTAGAACTAACGGTCACCAGGTACTCGGCAGATTCGACTTGTTTGCCTCCAGAAGTCGGCCCTAGATATACGGCGTATATTTAAAAGAGTGGCACAATTTTGTTTTAGCTATAAGAATCATTCAGTTCATAAATAGTTAAGATAGTCGAGATCTCCCTGTAGATTAAATTCGGGTGAACAAATGAGCATCTTGCAGTCGCATTATGTTTTCCAAGTATATAATTTGATGAAATTTAAATTGCAACAATAAGGCAAACGTTAAACTAACTGCCGACCAAAGGAAATAACGAACGTAAATTACGGATAATTTCCTAAATAATTTATTATTTCGCCGTGATGTTCGATTTCCTATTCTTAATCACGACGATGGTTTTACGGTGCAAACGTACCAGATATGCGTTATAAATTAGAGCATGAACTTCACGCAGAGATATATAAGAAATTTATCTTTTGATCTGTATTCGTTGGTTTTTGATTGCAGATTTTAAGTTTTTGTAAAAAAATGGGCTTTGCAAATAATAAATTTCAATACTACAAAAATCTACTGCAAACATAAGACATAAAAAGAAAGAAGAGATCCTTAAAGAGAAAAGAAAATTAAGAATTATGAATAAATTATGAATTTATTTAATTCTTTATTGACAAATTAAAAAAAACGTAAGTAACATATTTATAGAAATGCCATTTTGATTGTTAGTTTAGTTAGTGTTATGTTTAAAAAAAAAAAAAACAAAATATAAATTTAAAAACAACCAAACAACACACAGAGCAATTATTTTTATAGAAATACTATGCTATTTAATCTATTTTAATCCCACATAACTAAAAACTTATTATTAAAGACGAAATATGTCTGAAACAGATCATGAAATATTTATATAAATTTAAATATTTATTTTATATCAATGGGAGATAATAATTTGATGATGATTTCGGTGGAACATTGACGCCCATGGGGATACACTAAAACTTATTTATTGACACCAGAATTTATGAAGAAGGTATATAAAAAATACAAAATATACGAGTAGAGCGGATTTTGACCGCGTCTTTATTTATTTAATTAACACTTCATTGATAATTTATTAATTAATTAAAACATAAAAATGTTTATTGGAAAAGATTATTATTTAAAAAACAAACACAAAACAAAAATATTTTAAAAACGTTTTCACATAATTTGCAAGTAATATAAATGAGGATAAGAAAAAATCACAAAAACTCACTAGATATGATGTAGGGACGTCCGTTATTATCATCCCCATTGTAACCAGGGTTGTCCATGTTTGCCGTCGGGTTAACCGGAAGGGGCGGCTGGTCCGTGCATTACCTGCCGCGGCAACACTCTAAAACAATTTTAAATAAGCGGCACCGGAATACGTGCACTCCCTATATACGACCAACCCGCGACAGTTTACTTTGAAAACATTTCCCATCCCGAATCGATGGACTGACTACTGGACATTATCGATCGTTGGGTTATCCTTCGGCATCAACATTATTTTTTTTAAAGCGCTAATGGGTTATTAAAATGGATGGGACGTCGTGGTTGTCGCGTCGCCAATCTCATAATCATTGATATTGAGCTCGAAGGTGGAACAATCACGTGATTGGAAATTTAAATAAATTGCCGTGCACAAGATACGAATTATCTAAAAAAATTGATTCAAAAACTAAGTGGAAATGTAATTTTAACTTAATTCCAAATAGTTATACAGTGTGTTAATTATTAGTATTGTTGTCAATTGTTGTCAATAATTTAAATTAATTTTACTGTAGTACTTATTCAAAAATGGTTTTTGCACATTACGAAAAGTACGACATGTTAGAATGCTATTTGGCATGCAGTAAATCGTCTGTAAGGGCTAGAGAACAATACATAAATCTATACCCACAGCGCGTTACAATACATGAACATTTTTTTCTGTGCCTTTATCGATAAAAATAATGAAACCGCATTTGCAAAAAGGAGACGAAAACATTTATTATAAGTGAAGACGTGGAAATTGGTGTTCTTGGATATTTTGAAGCATACAGTGTTAAGTCTATTCGATACCTATCCTTTAACACTGTCCAAATGATTAAAAAAACACAAATTTTGCCCTTACAAATTCCAACCAGCTAGGTGCTTTTGGCAGGGGATGTAGAGAGAAGACTTTTTCTCATTGGTATGTTTTGCTGCCAAAAATAAATAATTTTCGGTTTATTTTGTGGACTGATCAATCAAATTTTTCAAATTTTGGAATTTATAATCGAAAAAATTATCATTATTCGTCAAGAGAAAATTTATTGCTAGTACATCCCTGGGGTTCACATTGTTGTCCAAAACCGGTGAGCGGCACATTGCAATTATCACTGAAATTCTGGATGGTTTTCTACATGAGCTTGACCTCCATTTCCAACAAGATGACTTTCCATTCACATATCAATTTTTGACAACCATTTTCGACAATAAATAAATTGCTGCAAATGGTCCTAATCTTTGGCCTTCTAGGTGGCCCCACTTGATTTTTACTTGTGGGGTTATTTAAAGGACGAAATTTATAAGAAAAGATATTAACACCTTGAAGTTTTAAATGCTGTAATAGGAGAAAAATTAAACCAGATAGATGCTAGAACAATACTAAAGGCTATTCATTCAATAGAAAATGTGCTCAAAAATGTACTGAAGTACCAGGTGCTGTTTTTGAACACCTCTTACTTATTTAATAGTAAGTTAATAGTTAATCATAAATTAATCAGGTTTTTTAGTTTTTTTTCTATTTTCTTATTTCCATGTTTCTTACGCTCAAATAAAACATCATAATTTGTTTGTTTACTTTTCAATTCAAATGTAAACAATATTTTTGTTTCAATAAGAATATCACGCACATGTTAATTTCATGAAGATATTATAGAATCATATAGCGCCTTATTGTTTCACTAAAAAGCACCAATGAAGCAAAATATTAAATATATTTTGATTAAATCCTGAGCTATTTGGACCACGTTTTTTCTCTGAATGTATGAAAAAAAATTATCCACTCAACATGAGCATGCACGAGATTTAAAATATGATTTTTAACCAATTACCTTGCGACTTTTAAGAACCAACACGGTTCCTGACAGTGAAGTATTTTCTCAAAATACGTTCCAAAAATCCCATTAAATTAAGAAAACGATGCAGTGTGGTGAAATGTAGAGGCATGAGCACAAGATAGGGTAATAGGGATAGACGCTCTTGAAGGATAGACGCCGCACTTTAAAAATGGTGAATTTGAAACCAAGTGTACGCTCTAGTGCAAAGGTTCTTCGATAGACCTCACCCCGCACAGCTCAGTCTGCGCACGCGCATAGACAGCACCGCACTTGTCGCTATTAAAATTTTAGATTATTTATTTTTTTGATAAAAAGGACGGATTGTTTTTTAGAATGAAGTCTTAAATTAAGGATTTGATTTAAGTTTTAAGGTAAGGTTTATTATTCCTAGGCCTAGTATAATTACGTTGTTAAGTCGCTACCCAAAGTATGATTGAAATACTAAGCCAGTTGTTCTTATAAAAGTGTCAATTACCAAGGAAACTTTATATTTCAACTAAGAAAGCAAAAAAAAAGGTTTTGAATAGCAGCTATAATTTTAAAGCTTCGAAGGAACGTCGAAAAATTGTCGATTTTATTTTTTATTTTATGTTTTTATATTTCGATGTTTTAAACTTGAATACAACACTTTAGAAAAATTACTTAATTTTTTAAGATCACCAATTTTTCCATTTTCCCTCGTAGCTCAGAAAGTACAAGTGCTATTCAAAATCTGATTATACAATTTAATAATCACGGAGTTTCCATAATAACAAATGCTTCATTCCTTTACGAACAACCACAATTATGATTCTACACTTTTTCAAAAACATTTTATCAGAATTTTCTGTGAGCATAAAGTTTCGCATCTTTCTTGGCCGCCGACATAAACAAAAAAACTAAATAAAACTGGCTAAAAATGCTTTATTATGCTATAAATCTTTACAAAAAATAAAATGACGCTTTCTGAGCAGTCGGTGGGGGGTAGACGCGGCGCGAAACGTTCACCACTTCCACGGTGCGTACGCTTTCAGTATAGGAGGCGACGCGATCAGAGTCTGAAAAAAAAAAGCACCATGAAATATACCGCTCAGAAACTTTTATCAGCCAACGCGGTCATTTTTCATATAGTTTTATCTGTGTCAATCGTAAATAGTATAGCAATTCGAGAACGCCACATGGCGTGACTATATGTATACGATCCTTTTATCATTTCAATAAAACAAGGGTGGTCAGTTTAACGGAGCACAAATTAGTGTCACCGGGTCGATAACGTCAATCTAAAATTGTATTACCATGCTTAAAATATTTGGAAGAAATACGGTCAAAAAAAAAGAAAAATTAAACGTATTATTAACAATTTGAACGTTTGAAGTTGTTTCTAGATAGTGAGGCGTCATTCCGGTCAGTGTCCATAGCAGTCGGTACATAGTAAACCCATAAAATCACATAAATTGGGCAATATTTCAGGTAGGTTTTATTATATTATATTATATTATTTGATCGGCTTATGCAATTCGAGAAAAACTTTGCACTTTCTATGTTTTAAAAAGGAAATAGCGACCCCAGACAGAGCTTTGGTGCAGCTTGGACAAGAGGACAGTATTCGTTGAACAAAAGCATATTATCGAAGTCTCTGTTTGGAGAAGAAGATACTTGAAAAGTATAAGTACAGCATAGAGCACCACCAAGACTCGTTGCCCATTCTCGCGAGCCATTTCGGACATTTCCGGTACTTTAGTCACGGGTTTGTCGATTCTTATGATCACGTCACCCAGTAAATGCATTAGTGCGGTTTTGCGAAAATGTACCCAAAAACAAATAGTCGTAGAAAAAGTATAATATGCTTGCGTGCTATGTGTTGATAAACTTCTTCAGTGACTCGCAACTAAAATGGCGTTTATCAAACTTCTTGCACGATATATTAACTTACCTAGATGTGGATTAATGAGGGTACTTAAAGTGTGGAAAGATAAAAAACTACTGGTGCTCTAGCTTTGATGACGGGAATTACAGTACATCGGGAAGAGGAAGAAAACTAATATTTGCACACGTTGGAAGTGAAAATGGGTCAATAAAAGAGAGTTTATTGACATTGGAGTCTCCTCGAACGGGAGATTACGTGGGCATAAAGGTTTTCGATGATAATTTGGGACTTCATTCAAACCCAAAGAGTTTAACTATTAACTATAGTGGAAGATGTAGCAGAAAATCAAAATATCATTATCATGCGTTTACCACTGCGAATTAAACGGCACAAACATTTCAATAGTTACCAATAAAATTTATGTCCTTGTAATATTAATTAAGTGTAGGATAAAATGGTTCTGGTAGTTTGATATAACATAGATAATTTTGGTTTTTTTTTCATGATAAAGGCACATTTTGACAGGAAATGAAATCTCCGAATTTGGATCACGACTTATAAGACAATCTGTACAATAAAGAGGTATAAAATTTTGATTATTACCAATATTTTCCGTATCTTTACTTTATTTGTTGCTAGGTGAAATTAACGAAAATATATTTACGAATTATGCGAAATCTAATTTTGTTATAAGTAGTTTTTCCGTAAAGACACTGTCAGTAATTACCTTGGTGATGATAGGTACGGGTTCTACTTGGTACTGACTGAATGAAGCGTAGCTAGTGGCCGGGGTTATAGCCTTGTATATGGGGGCGGTTTTTATGATCGTGGGTGCGGGTTCCCAAAAGGGCGTCTTGATAATCGGCGCCGGGGCCAATGCCTTGATTATGGGCGCCGTCAGGATAGGGGCATGATCGTCGAGCCACGGGTCGAAGTCCAACCCTGGGGCAGCGAAGACAGCACCCAGCGAAACGACTAACACAAACTGAACAAACGGGTTTAAGTGACATACAAATTTTCCAAAAATTTAGATCCGTTATAGAAATATTCCTTGAGTTTTTTGTGTAATTTACAGGATCGTCTTTATCTGTACAATTAATCTACAGGTACAGACAAGGACATCGGATTGGTATATTTAAATTCATTCTTATATACAAACAAAACATTAACATCAGGATCTAAAATAATTATTAATGCTGAACAATAGCCAACAACAAAGACCTAAAAAGAGTGATAAAGTAAATGATTACACATAAAAAAATTTGCTTATTTCAGAAGATCCTAAGATTATTATAGAAATAATATTGATAATGGTAAAGAAATTGTTATTAAGAAATCATTAATAAGTACCAAAAATTTAGAAGAGACAAGAATTGTGTTAAACAAATTTTTGCGGAAAATTTCATGTCTAAAATCTAGAGAAACCTTCCTGACCGCGTTGCTTTCCTTAATTTTTTAATTCATTGACATTTAAAATGAAGCGAGAAGATTTTGAAAAAAACGCTCATTGGAAATGATACCTACTGACTCCGGCAATACAAATACAACTCATTTTTTATACCTGACCATTTGATTTGCAATTTGTGGTACAGGATTCTTCTAGATCAAAAGCACATTTTTGTAACTTGCTTGTTATAATTTTTTTCATAAGCAGTCAAGATTTTTGCACACGATGCTGTCGTATAAGTAATATGATATTTCAAAATGCCGGGAAGGTGTAGAGTGGAAGTAATTGGAGGGTTTTAAAAGGAAACTCCTATGTCTAAACTAGATCGAGCAAAATCGTGATACAAGTCATGGATTCGACTTTTAAGAAATATTTTAGGGTAAAAACCAGCATTTCCATATCTCCCGAACCGACCGAGAGCGTTTATCAATTTTCAGACATTCAGAAAATTGTTATTAATTTTGAAAACGAAGTCGGGTGCTCGGAATTTTCCTATAAGTAATTCTCCAGAATCCCTCAATTTAATAAAATGTTCTTATTTTATATAGCGATAATAGCTGGCTTAATCTCAAAAAAATGCCTGTGGAGTTGTGCCTTTGTCAGTAATGTATGGTTGTTGGCTTCTATCATAAAAAATTGCGGAGTATAAGTATAAGTAGGGAGTGCATATGTCAATTTAACAATTTAAATATATGAAAAGATATTACATGTTGTCAAAGGAAAACACAAGAAAAGCGTTTGCGATAAAGTAACTTACACTAATTAAGGTCTGAAATTGATCTAAACAGCTTATATTACTATAAAAGTGGCCAATTTAATTTTTTTATTTTGTACCACAGTTATCAATGCTTGGTTTATTACATGAAAATAACTGTAATTTTGTCAATGGTTCTCAAAATATATAAATGATGTTGCTTAATTAATCTAAAATATTAAAATTACTTATTTACTCCTTTTTTTTTATTTAAGTTATGTCAACTCTCTCCTTGATCACGTTAATTGATGCTGACAAAGCCGATTTTGCTTTATCTATCTATCTACTGTTAAAATACTTCGATTACGACCACGCTGTACACAGGTATAATAAATATTTATAGTACCTTATGCGGCTGAGGGTATCGGTCAATTTCATTGCAACTATAACCAACGAATATTTACGAAACGCACTTTACTCACCGAGAAGAGCATCGTCGGATTTGTGAACGCGAATTCAAAGAGAGAACAGTCGATACGTTTATCATAAGATCGATCAATGTGATACGGCTTTTATACAACGCCGACTAGATTTTGCGACTGATAAGTTGGGGATGGATAACTTATTGGGCAACAGAAAGATATCATTCGTCAAGATGCGAATCGATTGCAAATAGTTTTCGCCGATCGTTATCCGTGTGGACGTATTAATCCCATATAAAAACGTCCACAAAAAATTCAAGTTTGTTGTTAGGCTTTGCGTACTTATATTTTTGAAAAATTTTGGTAGAAAATCTTATTATTATAGGGACGAATAGGACTGCCAAAAATTCTCGGACAACAACACTCAATGAATGGTATTCGCAAACTAAAGATCGTAGAAAAAGTATAATGTGCCCAAAACGATGATTGGCTTGTTCAGACATTTGTTTATTAAATACTTGCTCGGCTCATGCCAAAACAAAACCGTGACTAATGTGGAGCTTATCAAATTTGTTGTATAATTCTGTCACTCCTAATGAATTAGAGTTATTAAAGGTAATACATGTTTCATGACTACGCAGGATTTAATTTGTTCAGTTGTGAAAGCATCCAGTATTTAGTTGCACAAGCCGATCGACGAAAAATAAAGCCAATCGTCTAGAGATTCCGTTTCTCAATAGCAGCAAGAGCGGTGGGAAGGAGGTAAGAGTTCGCAATTTTAAACTGTAACTTTAGGGTACGTATTCAGTCTAGAAAAAGCCTAGAAATAATGGTATGGATTTCGTTTAACCCAAGTGTAAAAATTAGCAGAGCTGGTCTAATAACTGAGTTCGTGACATCAATAATTCCAACCACATTAAATTAAAATATTGATCGAACTGGAACAAATTGCTAACTAAATTCCATTTATCGCAGGTAATAAATCGAAGGAAAGCTAGAAAAACCCGACGCTTCATAAATTATGCAGTATTTTTTATGAATTACAAAATCAGAGTTGCAAGCGCGAGCGGACTGGCTTCCATACAAGGCGCGTGTCGCTTCTGCAATTCGCCATTATCGTGTTTTTAAAACGCGTTGCGACAATTCCCATTTTTTTATGGAAAATTTACGATTGTGAGGTTAATTAAACTATAAATCGTGCCGCTGCGAAATAGCGGCTCTTTTGCCCACAGCAATACACCGGATTTTTCCATTAGATATGACATGACGTAAGGAATGACAATTCCTCTAGTTACCAGCCTTGTGGCTAGTAGCCTCCTGGCATTTGCTTTGTAATACCCAAAGTAATAAAGAAGAAGACTTTTGACGTGTGTCGCCGAATTCTCTAAAATTTCGGAGTGTTTACGGAATATGTATTTGATTTTGTAGATAACCCATCGGAATTATTAACAACGCCTTCGCAGTAGTTTAAATGGATAGCATTGGGGCCGAAGTCGGCCAAAAAATGCGGGTAAGCGAGAGTATCGGTTGGGAGGGTATAGGTTAAGAACATTCTATTTTTACTTTTAGTCCGCTATTAAGGCGAAGTTGATGGAGTTGGACTGCTACGTGGGTAAGTGCGATCGTTTCATTTTCCTGAAGAACGTGTGATTCAGCATCGCCTTTTTTAGACGACGAATTGCCAGATTACATTATGGTTATGGTAGCAAACAAGCGAACAAAGTCCCAAATGAATGACGATTTAAGCTTATTTCTCTCGACGAAGACGTCCACTTTTGTAAATTGGTTGCACATCGTCTTAAAAAAGCTTAAAGAAGTGACGGTAACGAACTCTGATGTTTATAAAAGGGTCTCCAAAAGAAAATCTGACGAGCTGCCTGATATTAAGTTAAAGAAGGAGAAAAAGGATAAAAAATTGAAAAGAGAAGAACTCTCAGACAATTTTAAATCAGTAAAGCAGGAGAAGTCGCTTACAGACGATTTACCTGTTACCGCAAACACTTTATCAGGGAGGCGGAAAATTGTTCTATTAAATGACAAAAATGTGTGCGATGATAACTTTGATATTCCTTTATTATCTGAAGTTAATGATTCTAATGAAAAAGAACTGGAAGAGATTGAGAAGAAAATTAAAAATGTGAAGAGTAGGTTGGGACTGTTAGTGGAAAGTGATGTGGAAGCAGACAGCAGTAATGCTAATATTAAATCTGAAGGAGAATCTAGCACAGTGACGGATTCTAGGAAAATCTGCATTCTAGACATGGAAATCAATGAGTCTCAGCGTAAAGAGCTCGAGAAAACCGGAGACAAAGTAGAACCTCAACATGATATGGAACAGAGGCCTGAGCATCAGAGAATAATTTTTGCGGAGAGAGATGGTTTGTTAAAAAAGCCTTCAGTGCATGAAAGGCTTGGCAAGAGAACAAATCGGTCCCCGGATAAGGAAGAGAGTAGGAAAAGTAGCTTTGGTGGGGATTATAGGGACATCAATAACCGGTTAGTTTGTATTTTTAATAGTCCGTGATATATTGGCTTTATTATTTTTGTGTCCATTAGAAGATCTCGGAGTAGGGATTCCAAAGTTAGAAGAAGGGAAAACTCGAGAGATAAGCTGGACAGTTCCAGGGACAGAAGGGACCGTAGCCGGGAAAACAAGGTTAGAAGTCGCGGACGCGATCTTACAAGGAAAGAGGTGAGAAAATAAAAACTCTTTCCAATATATATCTGGAAAAAGTAGCAAATAATCAATCGACAAATCACCAAATTGCTTCCTTTGGTGACATTAGAAGACAGTATATACATATGAAACCTCAAACATAGGAACAAATAATGTGAACTTTTAGGTCTTTGTATTATTCTTTGTTTAGTTTTGGTATATATATAGTGCCTCTCCCTTCCAGTCCTCTTCTGTTCATGCCCTTGTCGATTTTGTTTTTCCAAAACCGTCTCCGTCTCCCTCTCTTCCTTTTCCCTATTTCCTAAATTCCGCGATCTTATTTATCAAGCAGTTTTCGGCGCTAGGGATATGCCCATACCAAATCAGTCGTTTTTCTTCTATGTATTGTAAAGGGTCTTTTTCCACCTTCATTCTTCTAATTTCTTTGTTTGTATTCGGTCTCTTCTTCAGCATCTTCTACAGTATTCCATCTCCGTAGCAATAATACTTCCCTGATTCCATTGATCACCCATATATATGCCTTATACTATTGTTCTACATGTATATTTGTTTGTATTTTTCGTGATAATGCTATTCCAGATATATTATGTAGCTGTTTAATTCATGATTTTGTTTGTCCCAGTCTGATCTATATTTCTGCTTCTGTTAATGCATTCTTTGGTATTATAAACCGAAGGCATTTTTGATTTCTTTGATTTCCATGTTTTTCTTCTATTTCTAGGTTTCTTACTTGGTCTTCTGTTATTACTAGGTATACTGTTTTGGTTAGTTTTTCTTAAAGTTTATCTGGAGTCCCACTTTTTCATATTGTTTATAGTTTCGGTTATTTCAGATATTCAGGCGTTTCTGATGTCATTCATTCAATATTAATTGCGCATTTTGACTTTTTCTAAAAGTTGATTGCTTAATGTTTGGATGACTCCTTGCGCCTGTTAATACCTTTTTTTTTTTAATTTGCAGAATATATTAAGTAGACTAGGTGTCTTGTCAAAAGTTTCCGTGCCCCTCAAGACCGCGGACGACGACGATGATGACGAGGAGGATGGCGACATCGTGAGGGAGGTCCCCAGTCTTATCAGAGTCAAACCAAGGGTAATACCTGCAGATGTGCCGCAACCCAATAAAAAGTTGCTTCTGAAGGCAGTGGCTGATGCTCAGAGGAGCGTCGCTCAAACGCCGACAGTGGGCAGTACACTAAAGGTGAGAAAACTATATTTTTTAAATTTATTTTTCATCACTTTTCTTTTAAGTCGGAAGGTTTGTTTACGAAAAAGTACCGGACAAGGGGCGGGGATGACAAACCGGTTCGGAAACTGGCAGAAATTGAGAAAAGCAAACTGAAAAAATTAATAAGACAGTCGTCGGAGCGTAACAGAGCCCGAGACTCCGACAATTATGACAGCGGCGCCGAGTATACTCCGAAACCGGTCAAGACCAGCTCCGACGTGCCGGAATATGTACCTTCTTCTGTAAATGTGAAAGACGTCGAGGAAAAGTCAAAACAACAGTTTGTGGTGACATTAGATGGTTTCGAAGGGGTCAAACCCGCAGCCAAGAAGCAGTTCGCAAAAAGCAGGTAACGCACTGATATCTGTTTTGTTTATTTTTTGTAGGTGCGTTTGAACTATCATAGGGGTTTGGTTGTCAGCTTTATAGCTTTGGAGGTAAACCGCAACCACTCGCGAAATTTTAAGATAGTGATACATACATTTAAGAAATTGATTATTTTGAACTACTGCATAAGGGTACAAGAATTATAAGGAACCAAAAATATCCTAAAAATTGGTAGTCCAGATTATAAACACTGCAGGAATTACAACGCAGTATGGCTAAAAAAACAATTAAAAGGGCTATTTGGGTATCAGAAAGGTAATGAACTAGATTGTGTTAAAAGTAAAAAAATCTGGTCCCTTCATTCGAAGTATTTTTGTCGGTCGTGAATAAACGAAGCAGGTACCAGGTACATTTGAACTACCGTTTTAAAGTGTTTTCATTAAATCGTCGGTGGCACCTGTGAACTATTGCCTGGTACGCGCAAAAGGTAAAGATAATTGCATTTGTCTTTGTCAGATTGGACGGCAGGAAGACGCCGTCACCCATAATTTTTACCAAAGACGAGACCTCGACGCCTACCCGCTCTCCGCCTTCGAAACCAGGCATACCAGATAGGTTGCCTGTCATCCACCCACCGCTGTCAATAAAAAACAAAGAGAGGTGAGTACAAGTCTCCCCTGTGACAGACAACCTATTTTCCATTGTCAAGGTGCAAATACTGGCCGGGATGCAGGCAAGGCGACAAGTGCGAGTTCGTTCATCCGAGCGTAACATGTGAGGCATTCCCGCAGTGTAAGTTCGGTGACAGATGTCTCTACCTACACCCCAAGTGCAAATTCGGCAGCGCGTGTACAAAAAAAGACTGCCTTTACGATCACAGTTTGGGCACGAAGGCAACCTGCGGTTCGGCTACCACACAGCAAAATTGCAAATTTTTCCCAAATTGTACGAACCCCAAGTGTCAATTTTTGCACCCGAAACCGTGCAAGTTCGGCAAGTACTGCAAAAACATGGATGCCTGCTCGTTTTCGCACAGGTTCGCGAAAACGTCAAGTCTGAGTTGGAGATCGAAATGAAATCGCGCTCCGTCCAGTCGAGCCTAGGATATATTTTAGTTGGTGTGAATTGATGTGCCTGTAAATAAACGATTCGTTTAGCGAAGCGTGGTTTAATTTAAATCTTGGGGAAAAATCGATCAGCCGTACATCAGGTAAGTTTTTAACAGGAATAATGTGTCGTCGATTTCCAGTTCGACAGTGTTTAATTTTTTTACGACCTTCTCGATCCGCTCGAGGATCTCCTTCTCTGGCGGCGTGATCATTTCTTCGATCTGCAAAAAATGACCTACTGGTTATCCATCTTCCTAATTTTGAACTGAATAGTTTTAGTGCCCGCTTTTGCATTTTGCGAGCTCAATACAGGAAACAGTGGAGGATCATTCAATCATTCAATTCAAAGATTTGGTATTGTGGAATACTGTATGGGTTGCTCATTCTTATTTCAACTTAGAAGGGAAAATTTTAAAAAATGATAAATTTTGATAATATGAAAGACATTTTGATTTTGTAAACTTTTTCTGTGGAATCTTTTCAGGCCCGTCGTCAAGGTTAGAATCTTAAATATAGACCTAATGTCCTTTTGCTTACCGTTGTAATGTACTATTTTAGATTTTTGGTGATAAGGCCCTGTTATGTTTGTTTAATATTTTGTCTTCTGTATCATTAAGATGTTTTAAACTTAGGATAGTCACTTTGAGCACATAAATTCTAAACTGTGAGCAATAGAGCAAGTTAAAGATAAGTTATATAAAGGTTCTGTAGGTAACAATAAAACTATTAAAACTAGAAAATATTTTGTTACAATATATTAATATAATGCGAAATAAGTAATGATTTTATTATAAGTATATCAGAAAATAAAATAATAAAAAAATATAACAAGGTCATATTACCCAAAAATCCGAAATATAATATTGTTTTATAGGTGTTGTCAAGGCTTGCCCTAAACTAAGGGAAGCAAATCGCTGATGTAACTATCGTCTTTAGTGTACCAGCCTCGGTGTTTTTAACTTGTTAAGAAACCATATCAAGCTTTTCAGTAGTATTGACTTAATATTTTAATTTATCTTCAGATCATGAGTCAAATAAAGTTCAACCCTTAACTGTTCACTTACATCGGCTAATTGTTCTTGCGAAGCGCCCTGCGACCTCATCCCCATTGCAATCGTGTCAACCCGTTGCTTCTTGTCGATGATCCTTTTATTTACAAATTTTTCATGGACTCGCCTAGTGAATGTGTTGAATAATGTTTTATAACACATCTCAAGCACCATCCGCGCCACCTGCTCCAGCTGTATGTAAAATAGAGTAAAGTTTTTGGTCGGACCGCTGTTGGAAGACATCTTCCGGATTTCTTGTATCCGAAGAAAGTTCTCTTCATACAGCTGATACGACAACCGTTTAGCCTCTTTAGCAGGGATCATAGCCTGCTGCTGGATGAGATCAGGCTCAATATACGGTTTGGACTTGATCAGTCGAAATATCCGGGCCGCTTTCGTGTCGAACTTTTCCGTTACAATTTGTTCGATTAGTTCCCAAATCAAATGCGTCACTCCTTCTTTTAAGTAAATTTGGTATGATCCACCGCTGGCTTCGCCCGCCTTGCGTATCAGTTTGCTGTTGTCCTGCTCTGCGATAAAACGTAATTTTTCTTATTAATAATTGTATTTGCAATCTTATAGTAATATAGATACAGTAGTTATGCGTAAAATGTGACCATGTAACTGCCGAAATTCGAAAACGTACAAACCGTGTGTGTGTCATTCAGATGTATTCCTGCATTTTTACTTACCGAAAACATCGGATCACCCTCAAACATCTAAGGCTAAGGAGTTCTTTACAGAAATCGATTATCCTGAACCAATATCGTTTGATAAAAATTTAAAAAATTGGGAATAATTTTTCAAATTACACAACCCTGGACTGGTTAAATTAAAATTTTAACTGCGAATACACGGTCTCCGGTCGGTAAATTAACTGACTTTATTTATTTCATTACGTTTTGACACACCCAACGTAGATTTTTTCGTTGCCGTTGTGCAGAGTCGCAATTATTTCGCATTTTATTGTCTTAATTGTAAAAGTGCACAATTTTGATATTGAATATTCGAACAACTGACTGAAAGGGAGAGAGCCAAAATACATGTGTTATATACCTATTTCAAAGTTTGCAATTGCTTTCTTAATTTTTTTTCGCCTGTAATCATAATATAGAAAACAAGTATCTGACCAGATCGCTGATTTGTCTGATAATTCCGTTTTTCTCGCCGATTTTTGACATAGCCGGCGGGCGGATGGTAGTGTGCAAGGGGCCCAAAGTGTTTGGAAACAACTGTGTAATAAAAAAAAAAGTGTACTGAAATTGGAACAAAAGGTTTTAAAAGGCAGTGGCAGTATTTTGAATTGATATAACTTTACTGGCGTGGGGACTTGAACTATTGATAACTAACCTATAATATTAAGATATTGGTCGAAGAAGGCCAATAGCTGCTGATTGTTTTGCCGCTTTAATATATCCTTGATTTCTAAAGCAGGCACGGGATTGGATACGTCAGCCCAAGGTTCTGTTCTGATGTACATTTGCTTTAAAAACAGGCTGAAAATGTCACCCGTCATGGCGTCAAATTTTTGCACTACTGCGGCAACTAACAGCTGATCACGCATATCTTGATGAAACCGATCAAAATTTACTGTCCAGTATATGTCTTTGTCGGGAAATTCCTCTGTGGAATTTGCTTGATGAGCCACCAAAACTTTTATATCTATGTTAGGTAAACTGTGCAACTCTTCTAGTTTCACTTGCAAACGTGGGACCGGATTTTCATCAGTGGCATAAGGCACTCTAGTTAAATACTTGGAAGTGATTAAATAAATTACTTTATCTTTTATCTGCGATAAACTAACTGCCACCTCGGTTTTTGATGTCCTTTCAAATACTTTCAGAACCAGTTCGGATGCTGTCCAATAACCCCTTTGCAGCAGTTCTTCGATAATCATTTCCGACTCGTCACCCAATTGTTTTTTCGCCAGATTCAAATATTTCGGATATCTTATAATTAAGAGCACCTTTTCCGTGTCCAGAGTATAATTGGCGATGTTTTCGTTTTTGTTTGGCTTGAACGTTACTAATCCATATTTTATAAGGATACATAAGGATTCCTTAATCTTAAAATCGCTAAACTAAAGCATTAAATAACAAAAGAATATATAGAATAACCTACCTTGGATAGGGGCAAGTCGGTACCTCTTTTGATGTACAACAAGGGGCTAGACTTGAATTTAAACAAATAAGTTCCCACCTTTTCAACGACGGGTCCAAAATATTCCGACAGAATATACGAAACTACACGCCCGTATATTACAGACATTGTCGTTGGTATCACGTCTATACTGCAAGCACTAATTTTTATGTAATGCCATGCTTGAGATTATTGTAGAGATTTTATCGCCAATGATTGTAGAAATTAAACCGAAATAAGGTTATGATTAATTATCGTTAATCCCACAGTTTGTATTCCTCTTCTTTTTTGCTTCTCCTTAACGTCCCACAGCTTGTGTATTTAGTAGTTGAGATAATATCAGAATTTTCGGTCCCATGTTAAAAATTTTCAATTATTATTTCTCTCATGGTTTCCATTTGTCCATATCAAATAATTTGCAGGCTTCTGAACATTAAGTTAAAATTTTTTCATCTGCCATTCGAAAAATTCCTTCTAAAAAATATGAAAAGAAGTTTTAATAAACATGAATCTGGAAATGCAGTTTTCAAGATACGGGGTGTTTAATATTAAGACAAAAAATGACTCCGCAATTCTTGTTATTTATTTTTTTTGCGCAAAAAATTTAAAATCATGAAAATTGACAAAACCTAATTTTAAAAAAATGAATACTAAATAAAATGACCGCCACCAATTTCATTGTGGGCTTATATGACGAGTGACTTCAACAGTTTACCAAACGTGTTGCATACTATACTGTTTCTACTCCCGTGTGTAAAATACCCACCGATCTAGCGTGTGGAAAGCGTCACTTTACAATGTCAGTTTCGATCGGATGTTTTCGGAGATATTTCCCACGCTTGCTGTGTTGCTTCGAGTCAATGTACCCAAAAACTAACGGTCGTAGAAAAAGTATAGTATGCAACACGTTCGGAGTAGTATATTATGCAACAAGTGCGGTAAACGGCATTTGACTCACGAGTTTTTAATAAACGAGTGAGTTAAAAAGTTTACCGAACTTGTTGCATACTATACTTTTTCTACGACTGTTAGTTTTTGGGTACATTTTCGCAAAACAACACGAATACATTCACTGATATGAACATCAGAAAGCGTGCGAAATATCTCCGAAAAGATCCGATTGTTCCCAAACCTGTGCGGTAAAATCCGGGAAATGATCGAAGTGGCTCGGATCTGTGGGAAACGAAACTGCAAAATTAGGTATTTTACAGACGGGAGTAGGAAAATATATGTTTTATGCCGATCGCCTAATCATAGACTGTCGTCATTGTTTTCTGTGGTCTTCAATTCAAATTTTTTATGCCTTCCATAATATCTGTTAGGCAAGTATGCTATGATCATTCGCCCATTGCTAAGAAAAATATCCAATATTTGCCCAGCTAGCAAAAAAAAGATTTTGACCGAAACCAAAAAAACCGGCTTCCGTCCGGGCACATCCCGCCTCCATACCGGCGTGAACGGGAAAAAAAGACGGGGCCGACGACGATTATAACTTTAAAACATCTACCGAACACTAAAAACACCAAATTCAAATAGTCGAGACCGATTTCAAATTTTTGGCGACGAATACAAGAGATTCTGTCGGGTGTGGTCTTTTTTTAATTATACGTTTAATTGGGCTCATCTGAAATTCGGATATACACCCCCATTTTCCGGCATCCGTCGAGGAAATTTTTGCTAATAACAATTTTTTCACGCACACAACACCCAAGGCTCCCGGTGGGAATCGAATCCACAACCTCCGGCAAGTCGAGCTGGTTAACGTCTTACCAGCCGAGCCATCCTCGGTCCCCTTTTGTGGTCTTATTATGTTCCTACTTATTTTAGCTAAATTCGCATATTTTTTTAGGGACGCTGGCCCATCATCGGTCTCTACTGGAAAAATTAATATTACCATAAATTAACGGTCGTGATACCGCATTTGCCAGTGGAAAACATTGCCAATCAAAGACCAATTTAATTTCAACAAGACATAGACAGCATTATCGATAAAAAAACGGCAGATAAAACACGTAAACCTTAAATTTATTATCCCATTCACCAAAAATACAAATTGTATTTTACAAAACAGTGTATAAATTAAAAAATAAATATAATATGAAGTAGGTACAGCGATTTCCGCGGTATCCCGTGGAATTTAATAAAACGAAAACAAACCATTGCACTGGAGGCAGCTCATATGCCGGAATGTTTGTTTACATGGGAGGTCTTGAAAGTGGAATGTATGCGTTTTTTTTCATCGTTTCGCTTAGGGCCGAACTAACCTAAACGATTATTCTAAATAATAAAAAAAGTATCCTATCTAACAAGCGAATCATTACACTAATAAAAATATGAAAACGTTCTATAGTGTATATAAATCTATTAAATATTTATATAAAATTCAACAACATGGACGGACAATGATTTCGTGTCTTGGTTACTTTCTTATTAGGCACTTTTAAGCGACAAAATAATATCGCGAGTATAATTTGTTTTGTTTTAATTATATATAAGGTTCACTTTGTCAGGCGCTTGTTTTTCTTTTTTTGAGCAAAATTTATTTTCTCCGCAAGAAACTTGTCATCCAGACCGGACAAAATTTCCTACGCGAAGGAGAACAGAAAAAAATTAGAGATGACGAAAAAACAGAGGAACAAACGGCAAAAAATCAAATAACAAAGGAAAATGTTAATTTAACAAAAATAGTCGTCGCGCTTCCTAATATTTGTTTCACGTTAAATTATAAAAAAACGAAAACTGAGTCAACTTAATGTTAAAAAAGGTGGGAAGCGTCTGGAATGTTTTCAAAAAATCGGTAAATAAATAAGTACGGCGACGTGGGCAGGGAAAATCCGCATTGGCGGAACGGACGGCGAATTGCGGATTAGGGACGCGCCCTAAGGTATCGCCCGGAAATATAAACCGACTAATTTCCAGTCAGCGGGGTCACTGATGACTCTTGCTGAGTAAATGCGAGTTGAACTCGTAGACATTGCAACACTGCTCCCCGCATATGTTACACTTCCACGGGTTAGCGTCCGAGTGGCAACCCTTGTGCAGGAAGTAGAGCGTTTGATCTGGGAACCCGATGCCGCAAAAGATACACTGCAGCCCCGACCTTTGCTTGCCGATCGCGCGCCACAAGAGCGATTCGCCGGGCTGGTCCGACCCTGTCGACGTAATCGCTCCGTTCGTCGTCGTCGCGCCCTCTGTCGGCGACGCGTCCGAATTGTTGTTGTTGGGCGAGCCGGCGGCAGAACGGGAAGCGGCGCGGGCGCCGCCTCCGCCCGTGTTGCTTTTCGATATGATACGGCGTTTTAAGTCGTCCCGCAGCAGACTTTTTAGCGGCGACACCTATATACGGGGTGTTTAGTCGTAATCCAACTGCCTTTTTTTTTATAAACGTCACTAGTTGAGTTACGGTAACGCAGGTTTTTTAGGTTTCACTTTTCACGTTAATTAATTAAAATTTAAACTGAGATATTTAATGAGCATAAAAACCATCGTTATTCTGCAAAGATTTAAATGGGTCAAACTGCCCAAGCAAAAGTTTTTAGCCACCATTTCTTCCTTTTTCTTTAAGGGTTACATAACCTAATTTGTTAAAGTCAATGAAACCCGATATGGGAAGTAGTAGAAAACTAACCAGAATTGGGGTTGTAATGTAACATCAAGATTGTATTGACAGTATGATTTGGCAACAGTTATGTCAGAAATGTTACTTTTTAAACAAGGATTTTATATAAGAAATTATATTTTTTAGAACTTGTTCGTAAGAAACACCTTTACTGAAAAGTTTTTTCGAAATGAAGAAATGTTAAATGAAAAAAGAAATTTTTAACAAAATTTTTTTGAATGTACAATTTTGGCGGTTGGCAGAATATGTAGTTTAAATAATAGCGACAAAAACGCCGACGTGGTGCCGCTAATGCTTCGCATCGTCTATAAGGGAGTATCAAATAGGCGGGGCGAAAAATAAAAACTAGACAGTGTGGGCCTTCCTTCCAAAAACAAACTTATCGTGCTAGCCTTTAATATTTGAGCGTAATTCTCGTCCCAAATAGGAAAAAATTTGATATTTCCCTACTCCAATCGGCCGCGGCATACCTTAATCAACGAGCTGAGGCTGCTGGAGGTGGCCGACTGCACGCTGTTCGATGGGGAGTTCCCCGGATTCGATGATCCATTTCTCTTCGGTCCGTGGTCTCCGTATTCCTCCGCAGGTTCCTGCTTAATCGGTATAAGCGATATAGAGGGCGTGATGCTCGTCTCCTGTTCCATCCTCAATGAGTTACTCTGGATGTGACTGCTGGATGGTGCGTTCGAATTCGAGTCCGCCGATTGCGGGGAATTCGGACAGTCGCCGTTGATCTGCGATGCTTCCCCGCCCCCACCTTGGTCCGACCTAGGTCGGTCGTCGGAAAGGGGTGCGTCCGCCATGGAGATCTCGACGTGTGGGGTGAGGAAGTGCATGGGTGGGGTCGCGTTGTCGGTCGAACGAGCGCCGGTCGAGTCGCCTGAGTCGCTATAGGTGGCACCGGTGGTCACCGACACCGACAGGTTACTGTTGAGGTGGTTCAGCGAGCTGAGCGCGCCCTCAGGGAAGCCCTGTTGGGCCGCCGCTGCTATCAATTGCGATTGGGAACCGGGCGGGCCGGGATTGTCCAAGTCGATGCCGTGTCTGCCGAGTTAAACTGAGTGTCAGAGGTTCGAAAGGAGGCAAATTATATAAAAAAAAAAATAAAGAGGTTTTTTTGTAATTACACCATATAACTAATAGATAATATGGTGGCCCTACTACGGTAAAAATTAATGCGCCGCAGAACTAATTCATATTTTCGTAGAGAAGGGAATGCCTTTATACATTTCACCCAGTAACCTGCACTTCATTTTCTTTCTAAAAAGCTATTTCCACACGCTTAACTCGTTTTTCCAGAACAGAAAAATGGCGTGAAAATGCCGCATCCAAACTTATTGACGATCTGCCAGCGGCCATGTTGATTGTTGAATGTCGCTAGGTCACTGGTTAAAAAACACGTTTTAAATCTCGCGCATGCGCACGTCGAGTGGACTTCTCTAAAAATTTTTCATAGTTGCTTTATTACTTGCTGTATTATCGGCATTAGCCAAGGCCTCTAGTAGCTGAATGACTATTCAAACTTGTGGAAAAAACCTTTTTGTTTTTTTTTTACTTCATTTATTTAATTTCAGCTTTATAGATTACTTTATAAATTTAAAAAAATGTCAAAGAAGACTACCACCTAAAGTAAATTGTGGTTTCAAGGTTACATTACTTTATTGGTTATATTTATTCAAACAGATTTAATTTTTATAAACGGATTTTTAGTGTAAAACTGAGAAATCCCTGATTCGCCGCGTGCTTTCCCTGGAAGCGCAATTATAAAAATCTCTGAAATCAATTTTAAAATGTACGCTCCTGTTAAAAATAAAACTTTCTTTATCTATGTGTAGGGTTAAAAGCAGAAACATAAAGAGGATACAATTTTAAGGCTTCCTCACACATCCCGGACATTTCTAGGGTTTTAATAACAATTTCAACTTTTTTTCAGAAACAGGAAAAGAAAAAATTCAATTTGCCAGTTTTGTAAAAATTTACAACTAAATATCCAGTAACTTATTTGTGATTAGGCTAACTTTCGAGAGCGTGTCCTTTTTGTCAAAATTTGATTTGTGGTGTTGAAATTTTATTGTATTTGAAATTATATTGTCTTTTTTTTGATAAATTATTATTTCCATTAGAAAACATGGACATTGTGCTATGCTAAAACCAAGACGATCTAACCTGTTAAAAAAGTGTATCCGCAGACTCTTCATGGACCCACCCCTATAGTTGCACAAAGGACACGACTTGACGAGGTCGTGCTGGCCTACGTGCTCGTTTTGGAAGTGCGCGCGCATCGCGATCTGCCTCTGGAACCCGCGGTTGCAAATCGGGCAGTGATAAGGCAACGTCTTGGTATGAGTGGTGAAATGTTCGGCGAGATGATCCTTGCGAAAGAAGCGTTTCTGACACACCCTGCATTCGTACGGTTTGACGCCCGTGTGACGCATCTTGTGTCTGCGCATATTCGCCCCGTTGGAGAACTTCATATTGCACACGTCACACTCGAACATCTTGCGGTGCATACGGTCAGCGGGGGGGTTGTTGTTTTCCGCTTCCATGTCGGTCTCGCTGGTCGCTGGATGAAGCTGCGTCACGTGGGCGGACAACGCCGAGGACGACACCGCCTCGAAATCGCACCTGGGAACGTCGTGACGTAAGCGGGCGGAGCCGTGGATATACGTCCGATTGCGATTACTACGACTAACCGTTTAAGTTACCTGCGGGCCTGCGGTGCGAAGTTATAAACAACGATTTGTGAAAATGTAAAAAAATATCGGGACTAACGATGACAATAAAATAAAAAAATGATCCTAGCAGCCGAGAAGCAAAGGAAGAAGAAAAACCTAACCCTAAACTTTGAGTTATGTCAATATCTGTGATTTAAATGTTGTTGGTTATTTACGGTTAGAAAGTATCTTTTAATGTGTTACCGACCACGCTGTTTTTGCTTTTCACGCCGGTTCAAGGCGGGATGGTCCGCTTTTGAAGCGGGGAAAGGCTGTTTTCTTTTTACTCGGTTCAAAGTTTATTGTTATAAAGTGATAGTAAATGGATTGTCGGCTGCTAAAGGGAATCATTATTATATGTTTACAAGTTTACACCGGGCAAAGTCGTCAAGAAAAGCGTAAATGAAGTAGGGGAGCCCTAAAATTTATTGGGTCAGTTCAGGTCAGTTGGGCTTGCAGAGAAAAGCATTAGTCAATCTTATAAGCCAAATTTCACATTTGGTTTCTTTTTCGTACGTTTTTTGAGGTATTTACAGTTGAAAAACATGCAATCATAGATACCAGGTAAGCGGACGTGGAATGGGCGGTTAGATAATAAATGGCGGTTCCCACTACTAACCTTTTGGGACTATAATGAAATGATTATCCCTTTGCGGGACTTTGAATTAAGACCTACAAGAGACACAATATGACATGGTGGCAGTGGTGTTCCATCGCATGTAAAAGTTTATGGATGAAGAGTGTTCGAACGCAAAAATCCCAAGATTTTGAAGGCCGAAAAAAACCTAACCTACATGAGAGTCAACTTCACGCGGTAAAAACGGGAAAAACCGGTGAACGAAGTGTTAACCAACCAAGACCCAGTACAAGGGGCACAGCGCGCTGAGGTTTGCCAATATGACGGCATCAAGCGAATTAAATTTTTCATAGCCACAGTGGAAGAAAAGAGAAAACGCTATATAACAGTCAGTGGTTTTGCCAGGAAAGCCGATAAATACAAAACTAACGTTTTTGTTTACCTAATGGGAAATGACACTGAAGAAATACTGCTACAAAAACAATTAATCGGCGGCGAGAGTTTCCTAGAAATTTTGCAAATATTTGGTAATGATTTTATTCCCAAAAGAATTTTTCGAGAGGTTTAATTTGAGGGTGCAATGACTAGGTGAATCTGTTGGAGGACATTGTAACTATAGGACACTAAAAGAAGAGCTAAGTCTGAACTGAATTGTCATTCATATCTCAGATGTCAAAGTGAGTGAGAGAATGCATAAATGAGAAACTCATATTGGAAAAAGCTGTACAGATTACCATGACACCCAGAATAGGATCATGCGACAAGAAAGCACGGTGAATGTTGTGAGCCCTTATTCCGGGGCGATGAAAGGAAGAAGTTCTGGCCAAAGCAGTCAACTAGGATAAAAGAAAACGAGGCAGACAAGACATGTGCACACTGCGGCATTGGGACATGAAAGGGTAGGGAACAATGTTCAGCCAAGTTCTCAGTTTGCAGAACATGTAACAAGAAAGGTCATTGGAGTGTCAGATGCAAGAAAAAAGGTTTGACAAAGCTTCCATAAATGTGGTGACAAAGGATGATCCATTCATTGGACAGGTATACATGGATTACAAAAACCGTTGGTATGTTGACATTACAATGGATAAAAAGTTCCAGATGCCATTTTTTATTGACAGTGGTGCAGACGTGAATTGGTTTCCATATGAAAAGCTACGGAGTGAGTATAAACAAAATTATAAGTTGTGATTCCATTGGAGCAGCGGATGACCATAAACTGGACACTGTTCGCAAGCTTAAAATAAATTTTTGAAATGAAGGCGTTTCTAACAATGACACTGTTAATGTGATAAAGAAATTAAGACAACCTATTCTAGGTAGAAATTCAATATTAAAGTTTGGTTATGCCCAAGTTAAAAATAGAAACTGAAAGACTATTAAAATTAGGTATAATAGAGCCAATTGAATTGGGTTAGCCCTATAGTTTGTGTCAAGAAAGGGACCCGTCTTTGTTGTGATTACACTAAACTGAATGAGAGCTTCGTGAGGCCATACTTTTCCCTTCCAATAATAGAACATGCACTGGTTCTGAATTTTTTACAAAGTTAGGTTTCACAAGCGGATTTTACTAAATTAAACTAAGTAAAGAGATTCAATTGTTTACAACCTTCATAACGCCCTTGGACGATTTTACAACAACTTTAAATAAAAGTAAATTCATATTGCCTCCAGATCTACAAAATATTTAGGTTATATTATGATTGATAGAGGAATTTTAATGGATCCAGATCCTGTTAGGCCGATCCAGGAATTTCCCACACCACTTTGCAGTAAGACCTCCAAGAGACACTAACACGACACTCTGGACCCGTTTTTTGGTGACCAACTCCCAACAGTTTGTGCAAGTTGATTTTAAATGAAAAAAAGTGCACATAAATGTATGGTCTAATTCCTTTGTTCCCGAAATACAGAGTGTTAAGGATCTACAAAAAAACAAGTTGTTTTATTATAACGGTGCTAAGTAAAAGAGAAAAGACAAAAAATACTGCGCAAGGAATCGATTTCTGTGAATCTGATATTAATCGTGGCATTGCGAAGATGGTAGTTTTAGTTTATTATTATTATTTTTTCAGTAATAAAAGATGTGCGCCGAATCGTGCTATTTTTGTTCACTATATTTCCTATTATTAGTGCGCGTAGCTCTCTTACCGATTGCACTTGCTGGCGCCCTCAGACGAATCGTAATTGGTGATATTGGAAGCGGTCACCCTCTCTTCATTGTCGTTCTCGTCGTCCTGTTGCTGTAACGTCGCTACGCCACTACCCGAATCTGCCTCCGTTTCGGCGGCAGTGTTGGCCATGATCACCTGGTTCCGCGGCTGGAGTTATGGCTGGTGAGCGATTCCATGAACACCTGCGTACCCCCGAAAACAGTGTAATAGTAGTTTAAATTCGAAGCGACCCGGGACACGCCGTGACGTCATACGAACGAAGAAAGACTACCTTTTCTGTTTACCGTTCTAACGAACTTCTTTTTGTATTGCGATATTAAAAAATGTATATATCTAAGTTAAATCACAAAAAAAAAACTAAGAAAAATTTTGTATCAGCGATGCGATATTATTTTACATTATTGTTCGTGCGAAAGGGGGCAACCCCGCACAGTATCGAAAACGCCGAGACAATCACGGGCTGTTTGGCAACACGTACACGAATTGCTCAACGCAGATTGCAAAACGCATTTGGTAACAAGTATTTGGGAACTCTCGGTGCGCCTAATTTCCTAGCGATCAAAATAAAATTGCGTCAAATAATTCACAAAGTCGGCGAAAGCCATACTCGCAAAAGCACTGACCACAGAGCCCGGATCCTATACTTACACGTCGACGACAAAAGTAACGTTATTTGGGAAACGAGGATAGCTACGAACGGGCGGCGGTCTCTGCTCCCAATCGGGCACACACGGCACTTTTATTTCGCGTTCGATTCACGCACCAAATACCAAAACATTACGGAACCCGCACATAACCTGTACGGGAACGTATTCCACACAATTTTCCGTGTTCAATCCGATACTTACCTAAGTAAAAACGTGAGGGAAAATGGTAGCAGCGACGCGTAGCCACATTAAAAAACACCTGTACACATTCTGATGACCGCTTTTCGAGCCGATTCCAGGTTGACGGTTGACCTGTTGTGCTGGGAAGTGAAGTGGGATTATGTGGCCCCGTGCCAGGACCGTACTCGCTCGTTTTGCGTCGATTTAGGGAGCGGACCAACACCGGAATGAGGTTGAACGAAATTGGGGCTGAAAGTCGGCGAAATTAATGAATTATCAGCCTATTGAGTATCGGGCTAATCTACGTTAGACTGGTTCGACACTCGTGAAGCGGTATCTGGGGTCGGGGAGTTATCTTCCCGATTTTATCGACCAGCAGGGCCGGACGCAGGCACGAACCTGTAACTTGAACATCTATCATTATAAAAATTTTAACGCGTTGCTTATTTTTATTTATGATACTTACACTAAGCAAGCCACATGCGATTACGTTAAACTATTGTGGTCGGAGTGGTCCATATTACATCTTCACGCTTAAATCATAGGTGTAGAGTGTAGAGAATTTCAGCCAAATATTTAGATTTCGTCCGTGATTCTTCATCCGTCACAGTCGCCTAATCGTCCACTATCTCGACGAAGTGCGAGATATTCTTTTCATTTGTACCCAATAACGAAATTAAAATCTCACTTTTACGCCGCAGAGGCCTGTAATAAAGTACGTGTATCGGAAAATCAAGTGCCCCGCGAATCCACAAAAGACGCGGTTAATGAATGGGGTGAGGACGTCGAAAGGCAAGAAAAGTGCCGCGTTGGCGAGATCAGCCGCGCACGTTGAAGTGGCTTTCGAAAAAACCCTACGGGCTCAGTTCCGATCTTAGGGAGCCCTAATTTTTTTTAGTAGCCGTCATTTGTTCTTCGATGATGCATCCGCAGCAACGGTCCTTGTGCGCAATTTTTATTGCGTTGGCTCTGGTGGTTTACTTAAGATCGTTAAAGAATGACGTTCCGAATCGCGGCCAACTATATTATTTTGACCGTAACAATTTTAGTTGGGTGCATATCGATAATGAATCAAACCTGGCGTTCAGTGATCGAACGACGACGTTTCGAGTTCGCGACGCTCTGAAGACGTTCAACGCGTCGAACGTCGTGGTCGACGAGTTAAATTTCGATCGAGAGGTGTATATTTTGGGGTTGTTCGACCTTACCGGGGGGAGGGGAACGAGTGAGGAGTTGGTGGCAGCCGAGATGGCCGTCAAGCATGTGAACCGGTTAAGTTTGGTGCCGGGCTACAAAATCATCCTGCTAGTTAATGATACGAAGGTATGCCGTGTGCCGTGTGCCGCGTATCAGAGAAGAAAATGATATGGAGAAAGCATATTTGTCTTTTAAAAAGGCATTATTTTATTTTGCTTTAAAAACTTTTTTTTCTTTTCTTCTTTTTTAGGAAGAGTATATCGAATTGTGTTATAACACACGTAATAAGATAGCGTGCGACAACTTTGACATTTTCTTGTAGTAATTTTTAAAATTAACACGCGTCCCGATGCTACATAACTTCGTTGCAATTCCCTGTATTTTTTGCACTTAAAAAAAACTTGAATGCTATGCCATGAAAATTAACATTCTCTTCCACTAATGGGGAAATTTCGCCTGATAAACCATCTAAGGGTGTTGCTTCCAGTGCGATCCTGGGGTAGCAGTTGACAGATTGTTCCACGCGCTCTATTCCGATAAAACTATACTCATGCTCCTGGGGGCGGGCTGTTCGAACGTCAGCGAGACACTGGCTCACGTCGTTCCCTACTGGAACATTCTCCAGGTATAAATATAGTCTGCTCGCTTCTAAATAAAGTAAACAAATGGGGCCCTATCTTTAATTTAACTCTTGATGAGGTACATCAGTTATTATCAAAGATACTTAGAGAGCCTTATAGATCTTTTTACGTAGAATTCAGAAGCATGCATGATATTATTTCTAAGATACGAGCTTTTTAATGAAACACAGTGTATATGTATTTTTTTAGTTGTACTTTTTATATGCTTTACAAAAATGTTTAAATATATAGGGTACACGTGGGTCAGTGCAAATACGGGGCAAGTATAACCCCTATTAATGTGTCCGTAAATATTTTCTTAAATACGCTATCTATAATCCCGACGGTCTATCAGAACCTTTAATAAATGCCGCAACGAGAACTTTTATGTCCTCAGTAGTTGCGCTATATTTTCAACCAGCTGTGAAATCAGCACGTGCATAATTAAATACAATTTATTTCCAAAAAGCTTGTTGTTTTTATCGCAGTTTTCGGTAACTACTTTACCAGGTATATCATTTGGATTCCGGTGTTAAATCCTACGTCTTTGAAATCACCATCTTTATTTTTTCGGTTTACACTTCACACCTGGGGCAAGCGCGAAACATGACAGGTTACACTTGCCCCTGTAATTTCGACTGATTAATTTTTCTCTGTCGCTATATTCGCAAGCTTACAGCAAGAATGACTTAAAAGAGGCAGTACGAGCTATAAAAAGTGGAGCGTTAACATTGTATAAAGGTGCATCAACATACAAAATAGCAAAAGGCTACATGGGCATGAGTAAGAAACAAAATATTTGCAATGAATATGACGGCACACTTGTCGTATTGAAATTCCGTTAATAGAAGAATCAATAGCGAATGATGTCATCCTTATGGCAGGAAACTACTTAAATCTATGTTCTGCACTGTTATTTCAAAAATCTCGTTAGATGTAAGTCCTGTACTACTTATCAAAAGCATTTGAAAAAGGTGTATATCCATTTAATAATGATGTGATTCCCGTTGAAACGTTCGATACTTTGTAACAAGAGACCATTCAATTAATTTTCTAATTCAACAGCACCCACAGCAATTCGGCAGCCAACATCACTGTTTCTCACTTCTTTTTCTATTCGGCAATGCAATCGACAAGCTCTGAGCAATATAGAGGCAATTTCAATGTTGGAAAAACCAAAGTCAGCACTTAATGGACTCAAAAGTTTTGAGACAATACTTTTGCAACATATTAAACAGATGCCAAACCCAGGAAGAAATAGAATATGCCCGGGGTCGAGGTTGTTACATTTGTGAAAGCAGTAGAACAATTGAAGGAACAGGCAAATAAAATAAATAAAAAACAAGATCCAAGGGCTAAGAAAGGGGTTAAAAACTGAAACAAAAAGCCACATATAATGAAGAGACAGACGAAGATGAAGAGAGGCCAACAGCAATAGAAATAAATACCTCAGATTATGATTATAACGTGGAAGACGAAGTAACTGAGTTTCGCGAAGAAGAAGAATTGATGAAATCCTTACATCTAAAAAGTTTTCGAAACGTATTTAGAAGGAAAATTTCCAGACGGTTGAGGTCCCAGTTTTATTAGCCGGGTATCGATGGCATTTCTATTATAAATAGGAAACAAATAAAACGGTGTTTGCCTGCTCCAGATATCGGCATTTGTTTCAACATCATATTTTGATATTAAAGAGTTTTTATTATATTTCATTTCCGCTTTTATTTTCGGTTGCCCCATTAAATCTACAATCTATATTAAGTGAATTAGACACCGTATTTACACTTGCCCCAAGTCCTTGGGGAACTGTAAACTTGAAAAACCCCAGAAAACAAAATCAAAAAAATCGAAAAAATTGCTAAACATTTTGTTTGCATTTTATAGATATAGTTGCTATGTATGTTGATAATAAACTGCCTAAATGTTGTTAATTTCCACGTCAAGGAACGGCAATGACAGAGGAAGAAAGTTGAACTATGGAAATTCTAGGTCACACTTATCGTGATGTACGTCAAGTAGTAAATGACAGTTTAAAAATATACTTGCTTTAAATCCTAATTTTCTTTAAATTAACATATTATAGTTACTATTATTTGATTACAAAAAAATAGGTATATATACAAAAAATAGTAAACTATGAAAAAACTGCTCAAGCACACAATTTTCGAATTCTTCTTTGGTAATTTACCTGGATGATGTCCAGAATTCAGTGGCGTACTCAGATATGTTTATAGAGGTTAAGTTTTACCATTTACATTCTTGAAAAGCGGAACGAAATTTAAAAAAATATATCTTTAACTTGTATCTTAGAAAGTACATCTTCTAAAAGAAATCTGGATTCTACGTAAAAAGGCCTACAAGATTCCGTTATATCTCAAATAATGACTGAGATATCCCGCAAAAACAAGGTAAAATGAACACACTGTTCATTATGTATTTGTAAGTATTTAGAAAAAATTAAAAAAAAGCCTAAATAAAATTATAAATAAATAAAATAATGATAAGTTTCTTTATCGTAAAATTCCAGGTTCTTTTTCCTGGTAATTATGTCGTCCTATATGTAAAACATTGCCACTTAAACCGATGAGTTTCGCAAAAGAACAGGTCTTATTGGTGCACCCCTAAACCTTTTATTTCTCTCTCTCTCTCTATCTCTCTCTCGCGGTCAAACAGACTATACTACGCTCGTTTCAGGTATCTTACGGATCGACGTCACCTTCGCTGAGTGACCGCCTAAAATTTCCTCTGTTCTTCCGCACAGCCTTACCCGATTCGTCACACAACCTAGCCAAGATCCATCTGATCAAAGCTTTCGCGTGGCAAGTAGTGATCACATTCACTGAAACCGAGAGTGCGTATCTTTTCCCGATAAACCACTTCGTCGTCGATCTGGAACGAGAAAATGTGACCGCAGTTTTCACGGTCTCTTTTTCCGCGGAAAATTACAAGGATCAGCTCAAGGTGTTAAAGGTTAGTTATGCGGAGATCAGACCGTAAATGGTAATTTAGGGTAGGAGTTCTTTTTCTTTCTTTTAAATGAAATAAAATTAAATCCCAAAGAAATAATTAATATATTCATTTAATATCAGGTAATCAATAACATTGGACGACAAGTCAAAACAATCAGCCTAAAATAGTATATTATGCAACAAGTGCGGTAAACGGTATTTGATTCATGAGTTTATTTGACACGAGCGGAGCTTAGCTGTTTCGGGAATATTTTCTTGCCACAAAGGGTACATATTTTAAAATATTTCCCCTCTAGGATTTGATTCAGTCATTCTAATAACATTTCACTTCTCCGTCTTCCCTTTCATCAATATGAAATATCATTGCTTGTTGATGACTCTTCATTTTTCTTTTTGGTTTTGTTATATACTCGTTTTTTATCTAAAATCTTTCTCGTTCAATTATTTTCTTTGTTCTTTTTGCTTGAATCGTACGTCTCATAAATATGGTACCGTACAAAAATTTGGTACCGTCAATTACGACCAAAAATTGCAATGGTGAATTTTTAAAATAGGACATCCAGTTTGGGATAGTATACTGCATGTGTAACCACATGGTTAAATTACTGACGTGGATTCAAAACTATTTGAGATATGGAGATATTGAAAACGGTACCTGCTCTAACGAAATTACTCTACATTATGTTACAAAATTATAACTTTCCATTGTCGTTCCTAGCTTTACCTCGGACACATGAAAGGAAAAATATTTAAAAAACCCACATAATTTTTATTAAATCAAAAGTAAACACTAACACATCCTGGTTTACAAAATTTGCAAAAACTAAAATAAAATGACTTTTTTTGCAATTTCAATATGAATAATAAGGTTAAATTTTCAATGTTATTTTTTTTCTATTTATTCTACTCGAGTTATCTCAAACTGGTTCGTACATGAAAACTGTAAGCGCGTAATGGTTAGATTGGTTAAAATAACTAATGTTAACTTAATATTAAATTAATATCCTAAAAGAGTCACTTATATTTTCCAAGAACACCGACATAAGGATCATAATAGGCAGTTTTTCTTCGGAGATGGCTCCCAAAGTGTTCTGCGCGGCTCACGATTTGGACATGCGCGGCGACGAGTACGTCTGGATCTTGCACGAGCACCATACCAAATGGTGGACGTCTGATGGCGAGTGCGCTCACTTGCGAATCGCTACGGAGGGGGTAATATTGAGCTCATCTCGAGAGTCTCTCGAAGATGAGAATACGGTAAGCGTTTGCTGAAAGGTAAAGTCGTTTCTTTTTACCATGGCGGTGGTGACCATAGGTACCGGAGGAGGCGGGAGAAGTGCCCATGTACGGGAAATGGGCGAGGCAGGCGTACGATGCGGTATGGGCCATGGCACTGATTATGGCTAGCAGTCGGGTGGATTCTCTCGACAAGTTCGGGTACCATAGGAAGGATATGGCCTGCGATTTCATGGAAAGCATGCGCAATTTGGCGTTTGTCGGCTTGTCGGTACGAACTTTCTTCACGATTAGAAATTATTTTTTTATATATATTTTTTTAAATTTAATTCCTTAGTGAGATTTGTTTTTCTGCCATTATTAAGCCAGGTAAAATAATAATATATAAATACAAGTAACCAAAACTATTGGGGTGGTAGCCGTGACGATAGTGGACTTTTGTTTTTGAAGATTGTTATTTAATTTTGGACCCTTAATATACGTAGTTTTTATTAGCCGGATGTTTTAATTAAATAGCTAAACTTAATGTAAAATTGTAGCAACCGCAACTGAGAACAAGAAAAATGTTTGTTATATGTTTACGATTTGAAGCGCTGCATTAAAAACGAGCAATTGTCTTAAGGCGGGATCTCATTCGCCTGAATCGCGAGTCACGAACCTAAGTTGTCGAACTTCGGGCGGCTCGCACTTTTCCGCGTTCTGTCGGTAAATTTAGCACGAGTCAAAGGAGAACGAGCCAGACCACTTATTTTCGTGCGCGGAAGGGTCGAATTTGATCAAAAGTTATTTAGTCCTTGAAATGTCTTATAAGGAAGAAACTGACGTATGGAAACCATAAAAATAGAAACCCATCGAAGAGTAAATGTTTTTGAAGATTCTAATCACAGAATTGAAGAACAAAAAAGACGCTCTTCTGGCTTCTATTCGAAAGCTATAAAAAAATGACTCAACTGAAACTTTTTTGACTTAATTGACGTATTTTATAATAATCGTTTTTAATTTTTTTGGTCGACCAACAGTTTTTTAAAGAAATTGTGTACTGACATTTTTCTAAACTTTTCAATTTTTTTTTCAAAGAAACGTCCACAGGCTATTGTAATACTTTTTGTAAAAGTTCTGGATTCCTTCTGCGTCAGTTTTTATTGAATCGAACTTGCTGACGTTTCACCAATCATCCTGTTGGCTTCTTCAAAGCTTGACTGAAGCTGGCTCGCATTTTACTCTGTACCTGCTTATATATTGTTTGAGGGGGGCGGGGCTAAATGAGGGGCATAAAGAACGTCTCGGATGACTGGTGACAGGTAGAGGCCTGAGTCGCGGTTAAGATTGTAAGGTTGCTTATAGATTTCTACTGTCGGATTTTTCGTTGGTAGAAGAATTGATTACATGCAAGAATTTTAGTTTTATTTATTTTATATTATTATTTATATTAACAAAATTAAAATATTGTTATTATTTATTTTAGCAAAATTACTGGCGGTCCTGATGGCATACCAAGTTTTATCGTGAGAAACTGTTTCCACGCGCTGTGTGCTTCTTTATGTCACATTTTTAACCTGATACTTGAAACGGGTGTTTATCCAGAACCTTGGAAAATTATCAAAGTTTATCCTACTCTCAAAAAAGGTGATCGTTCTTTCGATCTTGTGTTTTTCTAAAATATTCGAGAATATATTAAATAAATTTATTTTTGCTCAAATTGGAAAAGATCATCACCAACTTATGCTCCCTGTCTTTGTATGTCTGTGACTCCGTGAACAAGCAAGGTCAAGTTGACGTGATATACACCGACTTCCACAAAGCGTTTTACCAGATAGATCTTCACTTACTGATTGAAAAGGCATCTCAAAAATTTGGTTTCTCCGATTCGCTGATTACAATGTTGAGGTCCTGTCTGGTGAGTCGTCGACAGTTCGTTGAGATGAGGGGTTTAGATCAGTTCTTTTTGTTTCAATTTTTGGTGGTTAATTAAATAGTTAATAATTAATGCAACAATTTCGGAACACCCTATATATTCAATATAATATATAGCAATTTACTATACAATGACGTGATTAAAAAAAAACGCTCAAATAAAAATTAAAACGAAGTAACAGCGAGAAAAAAATGCTCCCAAGACAACAGCCTAATGAAAAGGAAAAACCGCGACCGTTAAAGCAAATCTCTGAATTCCCATTCCACGTGGCGGTCACGTTTAATGTAGCCATTTTTTCTCGTCAGAAATGCGAACATTTCATTAACTAAAGTGACTTAATCGTATTTGCGCGCCGGAACAGGAGACGATGTTTTTATTGTTAATTTTCAGGGACCTGTCCGGTTCAAGGGGGCCGACCGAATAGGGGACCTCGTGCTCCGCCAAATCCGAGGTAAATCAATTTGACTCGATACCCCCTTAAAATGTCAAGAAAAAACATCCATATTCGAATGTTTGTTGTATATTGCTATAATTCAGAATGATATATCTTGCTTAAGCGTAATTATTACTTTTGTAATTGTTTTTATTACTTGAACATTGCAACATAACCTCAAATGAATAGAAAAATATTTTCAAACTGTAACTTCCACCTAAGAATTTGTCGATATGTTTGTTGGATACACACCTATCTAACAAGACAACATTTATGTTTTAGGACAATAATTATGATTGTTATTCGAATATTAGAATATTATGTTAAAAGGTCATAAAAATATTTAAATTTTCAAGATGAAACTTCCTAATAATTTGTCGATATTTTTATTGATACTTAACAACAAATTTATAACATATAATATAACAGCGGCGTTATGTCTAGTTTGAGTGACTTAGGCAGTTTTTGGGTAAAATCCTTTTTTTTTTTACTCAAATTCCATAGTTAAATACGTGTCACCGCTGTCAAAATAAACCTGTGCGTGCGTGCGTGTGTGTGTGTATGTGTGTGGGCAAATGCACAGTGATAATACACCCCATTATATCCAATTTTCCATAATTATTATATCTTGGGTTAACATGAACCATACCAGAAGGAAGAGGATGCAGAAATTAAAATAACATTCAAAATTGAAAATATATGCTTTGACTTTGAAATACTTCTCATATATTACATAATTTTGAAAAACTGATAACGAGCCTAGTGAAATAATTAATAGATACATAATGCTCCATTAAAAAAACACAAGTATAGTTTGTGTATCAAAATTTGTGATTTTCCATATCCAGATCAGTTTTCACCTTTTCGTTAAGTTGGCTCATCTAACCGAACTGCAAAGGGTTTCAAAAAATGCAAAATCACCAAAATGGTTACGACATTTCTGTTTGTGCCGTCTTTCCTTTCATAAAAAACCAGTGTTAATAAACACTATACAACGTAAACGTTTTCTTTTACATATTTTACCAAGTGCTTGATAGGGAATGTATTGCAATTGGTAAATCTGTCATTTTAATTTTAAAAATAGTACGACTATATCTCGTATTTCCAAGAAAGTACAAAAATTTGAATATGTTTTTTAACCACTCTTCATATGCATATAATGCTAAAATAATTGAGAATTAACTCAATTCTCCAATATATACGTTCATGAACCAATCAACCGGTATAAATATTGCTCCATGATTCCCTAATGCAATATCTGCGATCGTTTCATGAAGCAACTGATCGCAAAACTTGAGGAATGATAAATTACGTTAGGGACTAATAACCATTAAGATGAGGTCAACGAAAAACGACACCGTGTAATAAGGGGAGGGTCATACGCTTCGAAATGGCGCGTATGTAAATCTAAAGTATTGAAACTTCAAAAGTCATTAAATTCGTGCGACGTAATTGATGGATGTGCTCCGTAATTTCTTTTTGAGTGCGAAAATAAAGATGAGGGGACCGGGTTTGGTGACGTGCGTGTCGAGACGTCGTGATCGAACGCTCAGTCCGTCCGTGCTACTTGATACCGGCGTAATTTTCAGATGGAAAACCAATCCCCATCGCGTTCTACGATTCTATCGCCGATCGTCTCAACTTCAACTGTCCTTTCTGCGTCCCAATTTCCTGGAAGAATAAACCGGTGCCGATCGCCCGAAGAATACTGAAACTGCGTACCATCACCATCCCGAAAGCTCTTTACTGTTTCGTCTCCGGCCTCGCGTTTCTGGGGGTGTGTTTGTCGGCCGCATTTTTGTACTTTAATTTAAGGTTTCGCCGACTTAAATACGTCAAGGTGAGTTAACGCATCTATCTGTAACTCTTCCGATAATTGAGCGACGGCTTCATCGCTGCAGGTGACTTGTAGTAACCGGAACATTTACAACGTATACTTGTGAGCCAACTCGTTTTCAAAACTAATTTTGGATTTATGTTTTCAAATCAGGTTTCGGATTGTTTTGAAGTCGACGTGAAAACATTTTGAGATTTCGACATTTTGACAGTCATATGTGCCACAACCGCGTTTTGTGTTTTGTATTTTTTCTGAGTTTCTGAATTTAAAAAGGGGCTAAAAATATTAATTATTATAACTCATTATTTTTATTTGATCAGGCAGTGGGTGCAGAATGGGCGCAGCAATTTAAATTTTATAGAAACATCCAAGAAAACCTTATCCTTCCGTTTGTCTACAACAGTTGAATCATGCCAAAGGGGGTATGTGCCAAATTTAAATTTTTGAGATAATCAAGAAAAACTATTTAAATTTACAACAATGTTTTAATTACGATAGGCAGATATTCCTTTTCTCAGGACATGCGGCTAGAAACGTACTGCAATTCTAACGCAAAATGCTAATATATTAAAAAATGGCACATACCCCCTTTGTCATTTGCACTCTTTAATAATATTTTTAGAATCACTATAACTAATTTTTTGCAGTTTTTCCCGTTAGAAATTTGCGTGACGTCAAAGGCGCTTTAACATGACTTTTCTAACAGGAAACCGAAAGGCTCTTTTTAAAAACTTTATTTTTCAAAACTACAAAATTAATAGTTTACCGCGAGAGCGTATTCAACTGACTAACTAACAAATAAGCGAAACAACAGTTTTATGTGATTATAAGTCACTTTTGAAGAATATACTTCTGTTATATTCGCTTAGATGGCGTTACATTTTAGAATAGGCAACAAAAATCCACAGCTACCTATGCAAAAGACCGCCGTGCAGCGCCGTTACACTTGATAAACATTACGGCGTTACCATTATACGTTTTCCATATTCTTATTTGCTTTTAAATTGTCACCAGCTGACTTTCGAGCGTCTTGCGGCGTTGCTGCCCTTGTTGACAAAACCACAGTTTCTTCCCTGTATTACCAATTGAAATGTTTAGATAGTATAGTATCCATCCTAATGTTCTTGAGTTGGGTTTTTGTTGCTTGATCCTTGTACTGTTGTTTTTTAATATTATGCGTTTTAATTTAAAAAACAAAATGAAACACTTAAGAAATCTTAGTTCTTTTTGCCCTTGTTCAAACTTGTACAGAGCGTCTTTCGATGCTTTTAGTGACTTACGGGGTTACTTACAGCCATGGGGAGAAATCTTTTCCACAGTGAAAGGTTTGGATATCAAAGTATGTTTACTGTTTTGCCCACTATACTGCATCATAGTACGACCTTAAGTGTAAAAAATATATTTTCTTTTATGTATTTCGTTAATAACCTATAGAAGTTTATTTTTGACTTGTTTATGATATACACTCGTGATTTAAAACCAACGTAAAAATTTAAAGTACATTTTACCTCGTAGTGTTATCTGCTAAAAACTTGTAAATTTCAATTAGTATTTATAATTTTGATTGACATACTTGTAGGTACTGTTTTGCAGGTTGAGCACGGTATAGTAAATTAATTTGAGTTAGCCTTGTAGGCTGGCCGCCCGTGACATAGAAATGAATACACTTTAACGAGTCACCTATAGAAAAATGAATTTTAAAACTTTTGTTTTCTGTTAATGCATATTATTTAAATATTACAATTAGTTCACCAAATGAAATAATTTCTCTGAACATTTTTTTAAACTTTGCTAAACATACGAATACAAAATCAGATTGTACAATTTTAATTTTTTGAATATAATTGACAAAACCCACAAATAAGGCAGACCCCTACAGAGAACGAGAAATTTACAGTTGAAAAGTTTTGGTAAAAAATGTTAAATGTTATATGCTTGAAACGTTTTTTATACGAGATCCAGTTAAAAAATTCGAGTCTGTAGGATATTATATTTTTTTATTTAGAAGTATTTGAATTTTTTTAAAGAATTTTTTATCAAGGGCGTACCTGGCTCTAAGTAAGATCGACTAGCGGCAGCGTTTTTTGCGAGTCATGGTTCATTCGTTATTTCTTCATTATTCATAAATTATATCTATTCTTGCAGAAATTTCTGGTAGTTGAAACCTCTTTTTTACATGCGGGTCCATCGTTTTTTATCGTCTGTGAGCTTAACGCCTTGAAGTGTGAAGAGTTTTGTCAAGGTGTTTTTGAACGTTTTTGGGCATAATTGCAAAAATGGACCTATTAAAATTATATTATTGTTGAAATAAAAACCGTTACTAAAGTGAAAGTTTTTTAAGATAAAGTGGTATAACATTTTTTTAATGTTTGAATATTTTAGAACTGCAATAATTATCGGCAAATTATATTCTGGCGGTATTTGACACTTACTTTGAGTCCATTTAAAACTTTTAAATTAGTTCACTAGCGGAGATCCGGGTAACCACCACCATAATTTAGCAAAAATAAATAATTTTCAGCATTGATTTTCTCATTTCATCTACCGTAAAAGTTAATTTCAATCAAATTGTGGTACTAGAGGGCCCATCTTTTTGCCAGTGAACCGATTGAGCAGTTTAAAAAGGCGGTAAACTTCTAAAACCCCTTATTATGTGTACGAAACGTACACTGAAATATTTTTTGCCGAAGCGATAACAGTGACTACAAAAAAAGTTGTAACCTCGTTATCGTCTTAAACTTAGGTGAGAAATCTCCTCTTCTTTTAGAGAGGTTAGGAACACTTGTAAAGTAAAGTTTCTTATTCTTATGTGTATGCAATGTAACCCCGAAATGGGGGAGAAACTGTCAAAAACAATCCCTCATTAGAACTGTTCAATGATTTTATTTCTTTGTGTACGTCCTTTCCAGGCGGTACCCGAATTAATACCAACAGTGATACGAAAGTACTGGGAACTTGCATGTGTTCCTCACTTGACCCCTGACGAGCAACAATGTGAAGATTTCTTGGCCTTGACCTAGGAAACCTGATGGTGGTTATATAGTATGTTTACCTTCTGAATCCCTATTTCCAACCTAAGAGAGACCAAGTCCAATGTCGTTTTAATTTATTAGAATCCAGGCTTAATTAGAATATAATTGCATATAACCAATATCGTCACTTTATGAAAGATTATTTAGATCAACGTGGCATGCTGCTTTTCAATACCAATGAAACTTTCTCGTATTTCTTTCTCCATCATTGTGTATTGAAAGATGACAACGTTTCCTCCAAAATCAGAGTTGTTTTTGATGGTTCTTGTAAAGGACCTCACAACTTGAGTTTGAATGATGTTTTTCTATCGCGTCCAAAGCTACAGAATGACGTCTTCAAGACTCTACTCACTTTCCGGTTCTGTCCAATTGATTTTAGTACCGCCATTCTTCAAATGTTTAGGAAAATTGCGGTCGATGAAGAGGATTTCAAGGATCAAAAAATGTTGTGAAGATTCGTATAGTTTATGTATCGTGATCTACGGTCTGCATTGCAGTCCCATCCTAGCTATATGAACCCTATCCCAGGCTTTTGTCAGCGTATTATATGCAAAAGGTGAAGCGTGTCACATTTAAATTGTGTCTGTGCCAAAACTCGAAGTCTGTGATGCCTTACTTCTTTTCAAATTGCCTGATTCCAGCGTCGCTTTATATTGATAAAGATGTTCGTTTGACCACGTTTATTATAGAATCGTGGTGCCATTAAAAGCATGGTTATCCTTGTCCAATACCTCCTGCGTCAGCAATTTTGGATCTTAACATTTAACCGCGCTATACGCTCGGTTCTTTCAATATGCTATAGATGTGCTCGTGTAAAATCGACCCCATTTCCTCCTTTCATGGCTGACCTATCTCTACCCAAGGTACGCGTGTCCCAAGTATTCATAACTATGTTTAGCCGCTAGGGAATCCAAAAGGGCTGTATTTGTTTGTTTATCTGTATGCTTACAATCTGTCTTTGGAGGTCTTTTTGGCTGCCTCCATACGTTTTGTAGCTCATCGAGGAAGGTGTAACGATATGTACAACGACCAAGGTTTATTGGCGCAAATAAAATGATCCTTTCTTACATGCGGTCTTCTGCCGAGGACTTAATTATTACATGACCCTTCAATACCCCCCTTTGCGCTCCATTTTTGAGATTTGTGGGAGTTAGGAGTAAAGTCCGTAAATTCCCAACTGCCCCACGTAATTGGCCGACAGATGTTGTCTTTTGAGGAGATTTCCACTGTATAAGCCAAACGTGAGGTTGCTTTATATTCCCGTCCTCTCTGTGAAATCAGTCCCGATCCAAACGACCTCGGGTGTTTCAATTGATCTAACAGATTCACCAATTTTTTTTTGAAAAGGTGGTCTCTAGAAAGTCCCTCAACACGTTACAACGTCGCAATAAGTGGAATGTGTCCGGAGTGTTGGACCCCCAGAGTCAATTCGCTCGTTGTTATCAAAGATATCAATCAACCTTCTCTGCGCTGGGTATTAGGTCGTATTATGAAAATCTATCCCAGTCCCGATAATATATCTAGGGTAGTTCAGGTGAAAACCTCAAAAGGGCTCCTTGATCTACCGTTAGTTAAAATGTACCAATAACTCACCCAACAAACAGAACTGTTTTTGCGTGTGTGTAGGTATCCAATACAATTCTCTATATATTTAGATCTCAAACCATCTTTTTGGGCATTAACGTTTCGCTTTCCAATTTTGTTTTTTTTTCTATATTCCTTTTGCTCCGAAGCCACCAAAAGGGTGAGTCATGTGTGAGCATCGTTTCCTTCGAAAAAAACACCTTTAAACCAATTTTAACCCCCCGAACAGAGTTTCATATCAGAATATCAGGGCCGCATTGAGAAAAATTGATGGTGGATCCGCAAAAATTAAACTTTGTATAAAAAGACGTTGTAGCGAAATGTGATCGGCCCCCATCCTTTTTTGGAAGATGTTTTATTGTTTTGTGGATCGTCAGTTTTCTCATTTTCAGTTATCCAGTCCGAAACTGAACGTGTTGGCTGCGGTCGGTTGCATCTGCGTCTACGTGTCAGTTATCTTGTCCAGATTGAGTGACGTCTTGCCAGAAGCCGAGCCGTTCTTCGACGCCACGTGTTCGGTAAGCGTGAACCATGTCTTATTCAAAAAGCCACCACCAATATTCCTAATGGCGCTTCCTTTATCTGGTCTACTTCGTATGTTGTTCCGTTAAAAAATTAAAACTCTCGCTCCAGATCCGGACTTATCTTCTCTCTGCCGGTTTCTCATTAACGTTCGGTTCGATATTCGCGAAGAGTTACCGTGTCCATCGGCTCTTTACGGACGCCAATGTCGTCCTTCTCCGGGGGAAATTTCTCAGAGACAACCAGCTCATCGCTCTGATCTCGATCGCTTTGATCGCCGACGCAGCCGTCATGTTTCTCTGGCTCGAAATGGACCCGTTGCACCGTCACCTCCACAGCTTGCCGATGGAGTCTAGTTCCGTGAACCGAGGAGTCGTCTATGAACCACAGGTAAATCAATAATCCCATGGAAGAAGAGGAAGTCAAATAGTAGTTGCTCATTAACGTTTGGTGTTTATTTAATGTCTTATGACGTCGCCGGTCATTGACTCTGGCCTGACGTTCCAGGTAGCGTTGTGCCAGTGTCGCAACACCGTAGGTTGGCACGTAGCCCTTTTTGGCTACAAGGGCATCGTCCTGCTGATGAGCGTCTACGTGGCGTGGAAAACACGACACGTCAAAATACAAGCCCTGAACGACTCCCAGTATATCGGCATCTGCGTCTACAGTGCTGTGTTTTGCGCCCTCCTCGTCGTTCTCTTCGACATAGTTGACGACTACGTCGTAGTCAGCTACGCGGTCAGAAACCTCAGCATTCTGTCCAGCTCCACCGTGACTCTATTCTTGCTGATCCTGCCCAAATTTAAATCCGTCTCGGATAAAAGGGACGCCGAGGAAGGTATCATGCAGGCGATGGGCTTGAAGATTCAGTCGAACACGAGGAGGTTCATCGCGGAAGATCCAACGGAGATAGTGTGGCGACTCGAGATCCAAAACAAGGTGCACAAATCCAGGTTGGAGTCGTTAGAGAAGGAAATGGCTAGGCTGGAAGCACTTCTGAATCCCAGCTTCACGACTGCGTCTGCTGACGTGCACCTGTTGAGTTCCTCGCATCAGGTGAACGTGAGGGCTTCTTGGCCAACGACACAAGGCCACTCGCTCAAACCGTTCTCTTCGGAACAGAAGCTGGTAGGGGAGAAAGTGTCGGAGAAGCTAAACTTTGTGGGGAAGTTGAGGAGGATCGTCGGCAGCTTTAATTCGCTGTGAATCGGCGAGGGTGAGGTGGAAACAAGTATTACTACAGGAAGATTTTAACGTTTAATTATATATATATATATATATATATATATATATATATATATATATATATATATATATATATATATATATATATATATATATATATATATATATATATATATATATATATATATATATATATATATATATATATATATATATATATATATATATATATATATATATATATATATTATTATATATATATATATATATATATATATATTATGTGTTCGAAGTGTTTTCGGAGCGCGAGCATTGAAGATGCCAAGTGAGATTTTGGCGAAACGTCTGCAGGATTCCAGTCGGATGCAAGATTTGCAGGATTCCAGTCGGATGCAGGATTCCAGTCGGATGCAGGATTCCAGTCGGATGCAGGATTCCAGTCGGAGTTCAACGAGCGAACGGATGATATCCCGGAATATAGTGTCATCATATATATATATATATATATATATATATATATATATATATATATATATATATATATATATATATATATATATTCTCACGTATTGATTCACGGATGGAAAAATGTGATGACACTATATTCCGGGATATCATCCGTTCGCTCGTTGAACTCCGACTGGAATCCTGCATCCGACTGGAATCCTGCAAATCCTGCATCCGACTGGAATCCTGCAGACGTTTCGCCAAAATCTCACTTGGCATCTTCAATGCTCGCGCTCCGAAAACACTTCGAACACTCGAAGTGTTTTCGGAGCGCGAGCATTGAAGATGCCAAGTGAGATTTTGGCGAAACGTCTGCAGGATTCCAGTCGGATGCAGGATTTGCAGGATTCCAGTCGGATGCAGGATTCCAGTCGGAGTTCAACGAGCGAACGGATGATATCCCGGAATATAGTGTCATCATATATATATATATATATATATATATATATATATATATATATATATATATATATATATATATATATATATATATATATATATATATATATATATATATATCCTATCATCCAGTATAAAAGAAAACTTATGTAAATGCAAATCTCCTAACTCTTTGAACTTGAGCGAACTTCTTCTTTTATCGATGTTTTATTCTGATTTCTGTTGATGTTTCGTGTAGATAACCCACACATCGTAACGACGTTTTGTTGCTTTCTTAGATTGTTGGTCCATGGGGTACGTTATGGGTAGAAATCTATAACTTCCTTGTACCGTGTAAAAACATTGGACCTACGGCGGAGTTATCATAAACTTGAATATTACTAAAAAGTTAAGAGTTAATACCTTGTTTAGGTACCTATATACCTAAATATTTTCTTTATAAAATGCTGGTGGGGAAGTCCTTTTCAACGTGTAGTGGCGATAAAAGTTATATTTAGAAATTATTTTTTAGCGCTTCCACCTTATAACTTGAAGTTAAATATCATTTTGCATAAGATCATCTTACACCCAAAAGTTAAAAATTATTATGTAGTAATATTACAATGTGCACAATAAAACGGAAAACAAAACAATGAATCAAAGTTTAACAATATAAAGATAAATTATCAATCTTGGAAGATAAACATTAGTCATAAATAAAATGATTTTAATCCGCCAATTTTGGATACCCCTTTTATTTTATTTATAACGTGGTGTAAAAGAACACGTAAATTTTGTTTGTTATCGATACCATACCATATTGGCGCAAAACCAGATATTAATTACCGAAGTTATCGGTGCCATTGTTCAAAGTCGGGATTGTGTGAACTAACAGCAAACAGAACAATGAGCTGACCAACTTGCTCGAACTGAAACTTTAAATTGGGGCCCGCAATGGCCCAATGGCGTAACTCTATTGAAGAAAAAAAAACGAGAACTCTTCTTATAAAGTTGATAGAAACAATAATTGTTACTACTGTCCAGTCTCTAATCATAAAAGGTTATGTTACCCACGATACAGGCACCATTAATTTTTTTTGTAATGTTTTTAAAATTTTTATTTATTTTCAAGCGAGTTTATTTTCTATCGGATTATCATAACGTTCAACATTAAATTTGATATTTGCTTTGGCCATATAAAAGCATATATTGGGAAACGAAAACTACCTACCTTCATAAATTATAAATTATTTTTAAAAAAGTGTAAATTTCCAAATCGAGCTCCTACGTTTTTTCTCATTCTTTTTTGTTGCTATTTGCATCCCAGCTTAATATTCACTGGAAAATGATGCCGTTTTCCGGTAAACGAGTCGCGGTACATCCGTTTTTGTTTTCGCAGTGAAAATTAGTACTGGCAATTATTAATTAATAAGGAAATCATTCAATTGGGCTGATTCGATTCTGTCCAATCGCTGTCAGTACAAGATAGCTGTTTATTTAGTCTATGAAGTGATAAATAAACCAAAAGAGCGAGCTTCGATAAGTAACACAAACGACGCGAACGGTGTCCGTTACGGCGTATTATTTGCCCCGGAGTCGAACTCGCGTGGTTTGCCAGTTTAGACCGGCTGGGAGGAATTTCCGTTGAATTCCGGTCTAATGCGAAACTTTACCCGGAAACGAGACCCGACAGCCAGTAAAGTTTGCCGGCTTTTTCTTACTTTTATTGCATGTATATTTATGCCGTCGAATTATTGTTATATTTTTAGGGTAACATTTAACAATTATATGGAAATACTTAGTCAGGAGGGCCTAGCAATTTGTATTTTAATTTTTTTTTGTCAATGGTGTGAATACCGAAGCGTTAATTCTTCAGCTCATTTTATGAAACAGATCAGAGATCAGAATGTTCTCGGCGACTACGATCGGGTCCAAGTTGTGAGACTCTTTTTTTTGTTTTTCTTTTTTTCAAAAACATTCATCTACGCTTTCCCCGTTTCCGTAATTTGTACGACAAACCCCAAAAATAATACTGCTATGAATCAATTCGCTTAATTTAAGAAAATATATTATTATTAATATATTTAGCAGACGATTATTTATGTTTTAAATCGTGATTCAAAGCAAAAGCCTTGCCACAAGAGGCTTTGGTTATTTTCTGAAGTTTTCGTCCTATAAATATGGATTTTCTTGGCATATTAATTGAAATTTTGACTTGAACTGGTTATTGATGATGATTTATTCAAAACACAAATTTCTTTAATCCATAACCCGAAAAACAAAGTAAAATTTAAAAATAAATGAAAATAGTGGATTTTTTATTTGTTTTATATCTTACTGTATTTCGTTTGTACCCTGTAATTATTGTTATTTTTATTATTATGAATATTGAAGTGTTAAGTGTATTAAGTAATTTTAATTATTATAATATTATGTAATATAGACATTTTTAGATAAAACTCTGATTACTTTTGTTTTGATTTCGCGTTTAAACAATAGTAACTAAAGTAAAATAAATATTTATAATAAATAATAAATTATTCGCTAGCCATTAAATTATTTAAAAGTATAAAAAATGTTGGTTTTTGCCGCATTTCGGTTCAGACCTTTGGTAGAAAATGGATTTTTCTACCAAAGGAAATTTCAAATATCCTCGCCGAGAGATGATATTACGCAAGTTTCTAAAAAAATATCAAAAACCCGTCACCGATGCACGCGTCGCGGCGCCGCTTTCGCGCGGCGGTCGCAAGTACCGGATCAAGTTTCCTTCATTCAGTATATCGTCCGACTCCGGTCGCTAAGCTCCGGGCGTCCGGGAGTTGGTCCGAGCGTGTCATGAACTTTCGGGGAAACTTGGAAATTTCGCAACGCGTATTTTTTGCGTCAACTTTTGGAAATTTTCGGAAAAGCGACGCCAGCGTTTAGCAAGTACGTTTAGATGGTTGTAGCGGATATTTTAAAAATTAAAATATTAAATAAATAAAATTAAAAATACTTTAAAAATATATATAAATCTATGACAGTCGTAACTATATTTTTGATGGAAGAAAATTGCTTCTTAGAAATGTTTTATTCTTTCGTAAAAATAGACTTTGTTTAGAGGTTTGCTTGTTTTCTCGCAATAAAAAACAGAAAAAAAAAACACGAAAGCACAAGCTAACTTTATTTTTATATGATATGTATTTATTTATTTCTATAACAATTTCTAAGAGCAGCGACAATACCTTGTTATTTAGACTCGATGTAAAGTGTAATTTAATTTCGCTGTTCACATAAAAGAAAAATCATTTTACTTTGGCGCGATTACCGTATTTGCCTAACAGTTGGGTGACGTTTTTATTATCGGTATGTAATAAACTCGATCTAAACTGAAATATTAACGGCCTAAGTTTTGTCTGAATTGACAAATGTCAAAATATATATTTCTGGAAAAAAGTGACTCAAATTTGTCAATAGAAAAAACGGCAAGCAATGGAACTTCTTGCCTATGTCTTGCTCATATATATAAGTGAGGTGTTGGAGTATTTTTGGTGGTTTAATATTTCATGTACCGCTATAATTCTTATTGACATCATCTTATTGAAATCATTGATTCAAGAAAAAAATTAACATATTATGATTTGATGATCAGGCAATATTTTTAAAAATATATCCAAAAAAAAAATAAACAGTGAAAAAGCGCATATAAATTAATGTATTTAGAAATTGAAAACATTTAAATATTGTCTAAATTGACAAACGTCAAAATATCGTCCATGTAAAATCTACCGAAAACATTCGATTTCCATACCCAAAATCGTGACCAAAGTACTGAAAACAGCTGACGTCTTAAAGTTATATTTTTAGCACACTTGATCGGCGCTTAATTGGCTATTTTAGAGTGGGAAGAAGAAAAAAATAATTGTATATATTTAAAAAAAAAGAATTAAAATACGCAAGAATTAGCCTAAATTAACCTAACCAATATTTCTTCAAAAAAGAAAAACAACTAAATTAATAGGTAAAGAATACAAAAATATTGTTTAATCTTTTATATCTCAATAATAACTACAAATACATATATTTTCATGTCATAAAAATGTTAAAATCAAACAACCAACTTTCTTTATTATGCATCGAAATACTTTAGCCACCTAATGATATTTAGTGATATTATAACTCCAATGAGTTATTAGTTATTTATAGAATAAAATCAGATCATGTTCTAATTTGGTAATATATACATTATTGCAACAATAATGCGATAAAAAATTATTTAACACCAGGGTGAAGTATATATCACAACCACTTATTTCAAATTTACCCCCAGAAAATGAACAAGTCTAAACTTGAGAAATAATATAAAACATTCTCTTATTAAAATTATCTGCGATTATTTTGAACGTGTATCGGGCCCATTCCAGTTTAGATCGACTTTACTGCCGGAAGGTGCGTTAATTTCTCCACAAAACATATTATTTCGTGCAGAAATAACCGTCTGCACACGCCAATATGGTAACGATAACAGACCGCCTCGCGCAGTTCTCGAAACTTTAATTAAATAAAACATTCCCTTCTGGTGACATTCGACAACTAACTGTAAAATAACAACACGCTGCCGCTCCTAACTCAACCTACTTTCCGCAGTAAAATCATCACGGGAGTCTTCCATTTCCGCTACGTCAAAATCGACGTGCTGAATAACGGTGTCATAGTTTATCGTTACTTTCCTCTCGTCTCCTAATGTAGTACGACCCACGCTCGATCCGCTCTCGGCCACGCTCAACACGGACATCTTCTTCAACGCTTTCCTGGTGTAATACCCTTTGTAAGCTGCTTTTATCATAGTAGCGGCTCTATTTGCTTCTTCGTTGGTTACCCCCGTCCTCCGGTACAACCTAATCGCGCTCCTAGCAGCGACCCTCCAATCGATTACACCTTCCAGCAATTCTCTCTCCTTGACTACTTTCTCCTTATACCTCCTGTACGCCTGTTGGATAACTAGGGCGGCAGTTTCCGCTTCCTCTGGTTCGATCTTGGCTTCGTTGATAACCTCAGACACCACGTTAGCTTCCTCCACTTCTTGACTGGTATCGCAGACACGTTTTGCAAAACTCTTCTTCATGGCTTGCACCAGGAGGTCCACTTGGTGTTTGCCGAGACCCGTTTCGACGAAAAAGGCGGCCGCTGCTTGAGCGGTGTCGGTCAAGCTTTGAACTACCCTGGAGGCTACCCTAGCGTTCTCTCTGGTGATGATTAGAGCGTCGAGGTAATCAGCTATGAAGGTGTGCAGATCTTGAGGCTGTGAACGCAGTACTTCCCTGGAGATGTCAGCCATGAGTTCGCGAAGACCTTCGGGCACGGCGTACAGGTATCTGGCTTGATATTTTTGGAGACTGACGTTCATATCGGTCGGGAGTTTGACGTGAATATGTCGGACGTAGTAACTGTTATGTCACGTCCGGTCTGCTCGGAAGTATCTAAATAGAACGTCCTCGAGACGGCTAACTAGCAATTATATTCCTTGAGAATTTTTTTTTCCTGCCGTTGTTTTTTCGCTGTCCGGCGGAAATGGGACAAGGAATAATGGCTCCGTTCTCCTGAGGAAAAATGCATTCGATTGTTTCACGTCATTATGATCTAAGAGGGGCGTCGGGGTCGAGAAGCCATGGGCGTAACGTCGTGTTTTTTCCACCATTAACGAATTCAATTGCAAATGAGCCGCTAAAATACTGTACCATCGCGGGGTAATGTTGAACCAATATAAATAAGAACTAAAAGTTCAGATTTTCACGAAATTATATATTTTGACATGGCAATTGTTTTGACAACACGGTGTCTTTATCAAATGTCATTGATAAAGACACACCCAAAATATATAATTTCGTGAAATCTGAACATTTAGTTCTTATTTATTAGTTCAATGTTGAACTAATTATCTCCCGCCTTTTTGACGGTAGATATAAAAGTGGTTCGAGCCTCTTTTTTTTTGTAAAAACTATAGATAACACAGTTGAGAAAAGCCTAAAATAACCAACTTTAATTCTGCTTGATCACAAGAGCAACGGCAAGGCGCTTCAAACGATTTTTGTCGGACCAATATTAAAATTTTGGATCGTTTTTTACCTATGTTTTTCCGTCACGCAAGCAAGATTGACTACAACATTAAAAAAAGACTCTTCTTCTGCTGGTGCTAGCAGGAAGTAACGAAACCCACAAAGTGGAAACTACCGCAAGGAAAAAAGTTTTCCTGCGAAACTTGCAGCGCTCCGCATCTGCGGCGTTAAGAAATTTGAATATTTCTATTCCTTTCTTTTCGCAGAGCGGAATTGGAACGCGACCTTTCTGTTTTACAAATGGAGAAGTAATTTTCCAGCGATACGCTCAGTTTTATCCCTCGTAATCTCCTCTTGACGAAAACCGTGTTGGTTCGCGAGTGGGCGGAACGTTTGGTTATATTTTACAACCAGAAACGCCAAGTTATTACACATGGGAACGTGCCAGTCCGCTTATAGTCGCCCACGCGTGTCGTCATCCTGAAATACTTTCCCTGGCGCCGCTATCCTCGGATGCTTTACGTGAAAATGGGAGACGAGGGTATCCCCAAGATATTTTCAGGTTTACTGTCCTCTCCGACTATCCTCGCTAGAGTATAGTGCCCAAATAAGAGGTAACACCGCTGATAATTTGTCTTACCAATCAAAGCGCCATTAACTTTGGCAGACCAAACCGAGTTAAGTACAATTCTTTCCGTTCCTATTACTATGCTTTATTTAATCGCTAAGGTGTGATTTGACTTTGAACGTCCTAGCGTTGGCACTTAGATTTCGGTTTTGGTTAGCTTTTTTGGCGTTAATCAAAACCTGCTGCATAATATACTATTAATAATGTGTTATAGCTTTCTATAAGATCATTAAAAGCGCCGCTTATAAATTTTCCAAAAGTAATAAATGTAGACTGGTTCAATAGAATATCTAGCAAAAAAATTACAAAAGATCTCAAAAATTTTTTACAAAAAAGTTATACATGTGTGGTCCACACGGGCATTATAACACCTATAAAAAATTGTTAAAAAAAATAATAAGATGGGCTTAGAAAACTTCATTGCGGAAGAAAGTTATGCTCTCTGGGAAGCAGCTCCCCTTTTCGCTAACACCGCAAAATTCTCACTTAACTCCGACTACCTGTCTGTTCTGCCTTACCCGTCAAAAGTAAACGAATTTCAGATGACAGATAACTTTTTAATTTTGTTATTCGGTTGCGTCTTTGACAAGCCGCAGATGGGGTCTTGCGTCAAAATCGCCTTATCGAACGTTTGTTTGGATTGGGTTTAGGCGTGTCGTAAACCAGGAACAAAAGGAGACTGCTGCAAATGACGCTGGTTCGGGCTTATCAGATAACGTGTGTCACATCAACTTTTCGCGGGTATTGTTACGATTGTTAACCGTAAAGAAGGGCAATAATCGTTAAACTTGTTTATGAATGCTAGTGCCGAAACAAATATGACACCAAGGTGAGATTCGTACTTTTGTCGTATTTCGCATGCGACCGTTAACGCCAATTCGCTGTCAATTGTCAAGCTTGAAAGCGGATGCGATAACCGATATCGAATATCTTGTTGTCAGATCGTTGCCCAAGATAGCAAAATTGAAAGGTGCATTTGAAGGAAATGCAGGAAACACTGCTACTAGATTAAAAAAGGGAACCAATTATATTTCTCTTCACTGAAACGAAAGGCTCCCGAAACTAATCAAATGAATTCGGTTAGGATAACAATTAACTATGTATGAATACATTTATTAAAATGGGATGAACAAGTTAGTCATATTTCAGTTTTGGTGGAATTTTTAATGTTGCTGCCAACCTCCCAGTTACGAGGGATTCAACAGAAATAGTAATAATACAACTTCAATTTTCTTGGACTTACTTGCTTATAAAATTGCAGGATGCTGGTTGGACCTTAGATAAGGAATCTCAAGCTTCTCAGCTTAAAGGCATCATCTAAATATTAACTTCAATTTATCATAATCTGTCAATTCTGAAACAAACAAATTTGACATGATATATTTAAGTATTATTCTGTCTTGTTTTTATTTTAGTTCAATAAAATATGTTACCTTTATACCTCCGTACCTACACACGAATTCGTAAAAGACCACGTTCACTGATTACTTCTAAATAAAAACGTTTACGAAAAATCGTTTTTACCTTTATAATAATAGAAAGACTATCGAGATCAAAATTGTATTTGTCTGGAAATCACCCTGTAATTTCTGAAGAAGCGGAAATATGCAAAATATGAATTCTTCCTGCGCCGGAAACAGTCAATCTACTAACGTACACACGTTAGCTTTCCCAATTTGTGTGGAAAAACACCATGTAACTCATACTTCTACTTCTAAGTAAACACATTTACAAAATCTGGGATCGTACAAAAAGCAGCCCAAAGTTAATGGTTTCCGCTAATTTCTAAGGTAAATGGGAATATTAAGAAAGTTCAAAGTAATTTTACAATAATTTTTCTTCAAAGCTGGTTCAGATAGTTCGTTGTGGTTACTTAAAATAATTTATTATTTCGTGCCATTACTTGCTAAGACGTCAAATAACACCAAAACCAGTGAGAGGATTTTTTTTAAACAAACAATTAAATAAAAAAGTTTGAGGACATTTTGACACCCGATGGAAGGTTTTGTAGGGTCTCCTTTTACGGAGTGGTATCTTAATTTTATCTTTTAATATAATTTCTACAATAGAAATTAGCGGACAGATTTTTTAAACGCCCTGTATATGACGAACAACGAAAAAACAGAATATTATCGAATTATTATTATTATCGATGGATCAATAAGGGGCATTCTCGTTGGCCCCGTCAAAAGAGTTCTTTGAGGGGACGCCCCGTATATAAGGGCAACTAAAGAAAAAAGATCTTCTTCCGCAAGTCGGAAGAGGAAAAAACGAGCGGTTTATGGCGGTACTATTTTTGCACTTTTAATCTCGACGAGACACACACACACAAATTCAGAAATTGCCACAATTTAAATAAAATTAATAGGCTCTGTAAATTGATAACAGTTTTCGGTAAGGTAGTCGGCGTATACTCAATGAGCGGGAGAGACATGTCGTTGTTCCGCGGCACGTTTTAAAAGGGGACGACGATCTCCTTCCCCCCTTTTCGCTTTGCGATTTCGTAGTTTTAAGGGTGCAGTATCACCGATCAACCGCCCTCCATGGATATAATCGTGGAAGAGCTGGAGTTTTTAAACGTAAGCCCAACTTGCGATGTTTTTTCGTTGATTGTCTTTCGAAAATGCTCGAGTTGTTTGAAGAAAATTGCTGCAAATTCCGGGCGATATTCTTCTTGTCAGCGCCGCTTAAAGTCAAACTTTTATTAGTCAGCAACACCTGCGTGCACAACAGACGGAGTTTAACATAATACGGATTCGAATTTCGCATTTGAAACAGCTAAAAAAAGTTACATATAAAATTCAAAAACGAGGAATTATTGTTTATATCAAAATAAATGTGATCTACTCAGTGAACTCGTTTGATTGAGAATTGTTAATTTGGTGTTATTATTAGTAGATATAATGTATTTTCTACTCGCTTCTGTAGAAGACCTAATTATACAGTAGATAGAATTTAATTATACAGTAGATAGAATCTAGACAAACCGGATCTACCATATTGAACATGTTTATGGCCGTTTATTACGTAACAAATCAAAATTAAATATTTTGCAAAAAACGGAAAATTAGATATTCCTTCCCTTAAATAAGCAAAAATATGTTATTTTTCTTAATCTACTTAAATTAAAAATAAAAATTTGAAACCTCCGGATGATAATGGAATTTTTCGAAAAAATATCATATTTATTATGTTATTGAAATCAGCATCGAAGAAAAATAATTACGCACAAATTTTAACAAACAAAATTTGCAAAAAATCATTATAATTCAATAATATGAAATAGATGAGAAGAAACTGACAAAAGATTGAATACCACGTTGTAACTTCTTTATGTTGCTTTATCTCAAAAAGTTCAAAAAATGTATCATAAATTAATTTGAGGAAAAGAATATTCAATACTCAAAACACAAACGAGAAAAATGATGCGATGCAATGATTACAACAAATATAATGTAAACTGAAAACGCAAAGTGAACTTCGGCAGCGTTGAAATCTCGCAATTCTGCCAAAATTTGCTGGGGTGTTGTGTAGAACAAAGGAAATCCTATATTTAGAAGGTAAATTAAAAACATGCGAATGATTACTAACAAAATAAACAAACAACAAATAAACACGTAGAAAAATATTTCAATAACTGCTGAATTTTTATTTAAATAGTAGTCGGTAAATAACTTAACGACAGTAAAATTACAGGTTATCGGAATTTTGGGAAAAAATAATTTAAATTGCGATATTCGTGACAAGTGTTCAATCCACACGAGTAGCGAATTTGAGAGCGACGCGTATTCATTTTTTGTTCCAAATTTAAAGCCTCCTCTCTGGTTTCTACCAATCCCGACAACTGTTAAAATTGGCATCCACTTTACCTGATCTTCCTGAACACATACGCGCCTATCCGACAATCCTATTAAAATGGGAAAATGGAATTTTAGGCGTCGCAAAGCAAGATCAAACAGAAGCGCAAAAATTTTCCTGGGAAATTTTATCCTCGAATTTTCATTATATCCGACACTCTCTGCTTGTGCGAGGTCATTGACCAGTAGTTCAACAAAAAACCGTCACAGCGTTAAATAAAAAAATGAAGATGGGAAATTATAGCCAAATTTTAAAACAAAGGAATATTTTTTATTTTCGAACTTAAAAAGGGCATTTTTTAATTTATTGGGTTGTTCGGAAAGTCATTTCGTTTTTTTTGGGGAACATGAAAGACAGTTTTCGTATAATGAATAAATATTTTATTAAATTATATATTGGCCATTCTGGTCCAACACCTTTTGCCATCTTTCTGGCAGTAACATAATTCCCCTCTCATAAAAGTTTTGGTCCTTGCTGGCAAAAAACTGGTTCAGGTGGTTTTTGACATCTTCATATGAGGTAAAGGTTTTGCCATCCAAAAAATTTTGCAGGGACCGGAACAAATAGTAGTCGGAAGGCCCCAGATCTGGAGAATATGGTGGATGTTGCAGTACGTCCCATTCAAGCTGTAAAAGTTTTTGTGTGAGGTCTCGCATTATCCTGGTGGAACACTACACCCTTCCTGTTGATTAATTCGGGCCTCTTCTCTTTAAGTGAATCATTCAATTTGTCCAGTTGATGACAATAGACTTCTGAATTAATCGTTGTAATGTCCGGCAAAAGCTCAAAAAAAACGATTCCTTTGACATCCCACCAAACGGAGAGCATCACCTTTTTTTGGTGAATGTTGGCTTTTGACACGCTTTGAGCCGGTTCATCTTTTCTGCTCCATGACCTCTTGCGTTTAACATTGTTGTATACAACCCATTTTTCGTCCCCAGTAATAATCCGCTTCAAAAATGGATCATTTTCTTGACGTTTGAGGAGCGAATCACACACGTCAACGCGACGACACAAATTTCGCTCCGTAAGGACATGGGGCACCCACACATCGAGCTTCGAGGTTAAGCCCATGCCGTTCAAATGGCCATAAACAGTCGAATTCGACAAATTTAATCTCTCACCGATCTCTCGTGTGGTTATTCGCCGATTTGCATCAACTAATGCCTTTATCGCATCTTTGTCAGCTTCGACCGGCCTTCCAGACCGTGGTGCATCTTCGACATCAAAATTGCCGGATCGAAATTTTGCAAACCAGTTCTGGCACTGGCGTACTGTTAACACGCCTTCTCCATACACATCCGTCAATTTTTTTCCCGCTTGGACAGCATTTTTACCTTTTCTGAAGTAAAAAAGTAAAATATGACGAAAATGCTGCTTATTGCTCTCCATATTTAAAAGGGCACCAACCAAAAACTACTGCGTAGAATTAATAGAACTTTTTCACACACAAGCCTTGCAATATCAGCTCTCAAGACATATAATGGTTATGCGGCTTAAGTGTGAAGTTGGTTTCGAAAAAATGTAATTAAGTCCTCTGACGGGAAAAAACGAAATGACTTTCCGAACAACCTTATAATTTTCGGTATTTTTGTTTAGACAATGAAAAAAAATATTATTTTTTTTTAAACTGCTATTATTGCGGGCGGGCAAATCACCATCCCAAATTGGTACACCAATATTATTAATTTCATTGGATTTGGAAATTAATTGGATTAAATTAAAAAAATCATTAAATCTAAATTTTATATATAAAACCTATTTACGACCGCATTTTCAAATAGTCAGAAAGAGTCACTGTGGCAGTGTTAAACTGAAAAATAATTAATAATAAATTTTATAAAATATTTAAAAAAGAACATGTAATTTTTATGTTTCGATTTTTTTTTTCAAAATTTTGTTTCCCAATTTATTTCTCTTCGGTTTTAAAAATCTAATTCACTTAAGAAGTTGTGTTAATTGCGAATATATGGAAAAAAAACATTTTTCTACTCCCGTCTGTAAAATACCTAATTACGCACCGATCTAGTGTGCGGGTAGCGTCGCTTTACCACGTCAGTTTCGTTTCCCACGAATCCGAGTCACTTCGGACATTTCCGGGATTTTACCGCACGGGTTTGGGATGTTTTTGGAGATATTTCATACGCTTCGAATTTTAACGTTTGTCAATTCTGACAGTCATGTCAGTGAATGTATTCGAGTTTTGCGAAAATGTACGCAAAAACTAACGGCCGTAGAAAAAGTATAGTATGCAACACGTTCCGTAAACTTTCTAACTCACTCGTTTATTAAACACTTGCTTCGCTCGTGTCAAATAAACTCGTGAGTCAAATGCCGTTTACCGCACCTGGTGCATAATATACTATTGCGTATATTTCTTTTTGTATTCTTTCTTATGTCTTATAAAAATTATCCCGTCGCATAGTCCCAGTTTGAAAACTTGGGGTTCTATTAAAATTACTGGGTTACTCAGTTATAGCCAAAGTAAATGTCCACGTGTTTTTTGCTTATACGCAATTAAAACCACAATTAATATTCTTCATAGAATTAAATAATATAACTTTTTTTTTTCAAATGGAAACCGTCCATTTTTATAAGTCGATCTTATTTCGAATTGAAAATTATAGTCACTTATCACAACAAAGAATTTAATATTTCAAAAAAACTGAATCAATCAATGACAAGTGGGACCCTTGCCCTCTGTGCGAACGGTTCCCTAATCACGAAGTGACCTATTATATATAATTCGCTTGCTTGTTTGGTGAAACGAATGTTTAATCTGATTTCGGAGGATATGCATTGAAAATATCTAGATAAAAACGTCTAATATAAAATTTAATAACAACCAATTACCGTGAATATTTCATTCAACTCATTAAGCTCCGACTTCCAGCTACTGTACTTATTTGACTGCCGAATGCGCCAGCATTTTAAAATGAACGAAAAACCTTTTTTTACGCGAGTGGGTTGCGTCATCTAAATGGGAAATTTCCAATTCCAAAAAGTGTCGTAAAAGATTTCCCGTTCTTGAACATTATGGCCGTACGTGTGTCATCAAATGTCCGAGTCAATCGTATCGACGTTAGGGAAACGACATGAATAAAACCCAACTAGCAAATGGCTATATATCGATATTAAAAATGTTACATTACGGGAGTATATCAATATTTATTTGTAATTGAATTTAATGTTTATATCGAATATGATTTTTTATATTTGCATATTATTTAATGTGCTCTTTCATTTACATTGAAATAAAATAGTTGTTTTGAGCTCCACAATAGGGTTTCAAATATTGACGTCTCTATTCGTTGGAGGAAATTTGAATAAATAACATTATGCATTCTTGTTAACATGGATTAATGTTACTTTTTACAAAACTTCTGGATTCCTCCAGCGTCTACTATATATTACTAATTATTATATTATATTTTATTACATATAATCAAAAAATCACATTAGTACTAACAGAAAATACGCAAGCAAATTATCAATAACTATCTAAATAAGTACGTTTTTGTTCAAAATCTTAGTCTGTTTCATTCTCAGAGTCGTCATTCAAATGAATTTTAATGGGTTTTATGTTATTATGCATTCAAATGAAAGAATCTTCACATTTTAAGATGTACCTTTTTCCAGCTCTCAACAGGTATATTATTAATTACATTTTTAAGTAAATTTATTACACTGGAAGCTTAAATTAGGAGAAACATTTTGTGCG